AAATGCACCAGTTATTTTTTCCATTAAAACCAACCAGAGTTTCTAATTATTTTTGCCACTTAAAAGCTGGTAACTTCATACAAGCCATTTCACTTTTCTAAGAGGTTGAGCTGAATTTAAATGGGTTCAGAAAAATAAGTTCAGGCTGGGCGCGGTGGCTCACAGCTACTTGAGAAGCAGAGATCAGGAAACAGTGATTTGAGGGCAGCACGGACAAAAGGTTAGCAAGTCCCCATTACAGTCAACAAGCTGATATGAAGGTGAGCCCGTAATCCCAGCTGTGTCGGAGGCACAGACCAGCCAAGACAAAAATGTGAAAAATAACTAAAGCAAAAAGAGCTGAGGATCTGGCTCAAGTGTGAGGAGTGCCTGCCCAGCAAGCAGGAGGTCCTGAGTTCAAACCCCAGTACTGTCAAGCAAAACAAAACCATCACTGCCTTCAAGAAAGGTAAGGGTGAAACGAATCTTATGTAAGAGGCAAAGCCAGCCCAGTCCTATTTTTGTACTGTATGTCACTATTTTCACACCCCAGTAACAACAAAACCTTGAGCACATGACACACGTCCTTTGGGGCATCCTTGTCCTCTGCTTATAATCATTCCTCCTCTTCTGATACTAAACCTCACCTAGGTCTCTTTCATGTTGCCCTTTGTGATGACTTTCCAACTGTTCATCCTTCCTGATGGGACAGATCATCCCTACTATCACCCAAGAGAGAGGACAGAGACAGACACTGTGAAGGTAGGACGAGACAGTGACTTGAAGGGTCAAGTACACAGCTGGAAATGCAGAATAGGGAGGTTCTTTCTAGGGGACACTTCAAAAGGACCTTTTACCCTGGGTGCCCCAAAAAGAATTTCAGACAAAATAGGTATTATACATTGCAAAAGATATCAGATTTGCTATAGGCCACAAACTGCCAGCAACCATAGCTGCAGATGAGGGCTGAGCTAAACAAAATCAACATGGTTTCTTGCAGGCCCTTCAATGGTGCTTTTTGCAATGCACTTCCATGTATGTGGGTGATGTGTTTGCTCACTGTGCTCCCATTACATTTTCCGACATACTTTCACAGGCTAAAATGCTGTGCCTGTACTGATAATGGCTTCAGATGCACTGAAGAAGACCTACTACGGTAGGCTTCAGTGAACATACTGAGCAGAGGGAGAGATGAACAAAGTACTGTACAGTGCGGAGGTAAAGTGAAGACGCTAAAGTTACACTGCTTGCTATATGACCTTGAACAAACTACTTTAATTTCCAGGCCTCAATTTCTCCATCCATAATAATTCTAACTGGCTGGGGCAGACTATTGCTATGTTTAACTGACACAAATGCATGAATGTGCTTAACCTAACACATAGTAAATGCTCTAAGGAGTGGCATGGGGTGGAGTGCATGGGGCCCTGAGCTCCATCCCCAGACCCGTTCCCTCCTCCCCCAAATGAAATGCTCTAAGATGGTTTCTTGCTACCATTTCCTTTTTTAACCAACCCTGACGTTTAGCCATTCCCATCCTCACCTTATGGATGAGGAAATCATGGCACAGGTGCTAGTAAGTGTCAGAATCTGCAAATGCTAGGCTTCTGGAGCTCAAGCTCTTGCCCCGACAAGAGCCTCCCCATTTTGTGACTTCGAAGAATCAAAAGCTCTAGCTTGACTATGAAAAGAAGCTGAAATTCTAGGTCTTCAAATAGCGATTATGAGATGATGGGAACCTCTGTCACATGAGGAGGGGAAAAGAAATTGGTTGCCAAGCTACAGTAACAACTTGCACCAGGGCTTCGAGAACAGACTAGAAGACACAGGGAGATGACCAGTAGACAAACAGTAGCAAAAATAACTGGCATCTGAGATTCTGGTTAAAGTGGCAGCTGTAGGGCACGTGGAAGAATGGGAGAACTGACTGGCAGCATACCCATAGGCACAGCCAGCTATTCCTGCCACTGGAGCAGTGTCCATACAGTGTCACAGTGTCCGTCATCGCTAGATCTGGCATCCAGTATTGGACGGCCATCCTTGGGGATACTTAATTATATTAGAATGAAGCAAAATGATACTCGCTTCTGCAGCCTTTCAGAACAACCAAGTAGGTAAGGTGCCAGTGGCTCGGGCCTGTAAATCCTAGCTACTCAGGAGGTAGTGATCAGGAGGATTGCAGTTTGAAGCCAGCCTGGGCAAATAACTTGTGAGATCCTTTCTCAAAAAAAACCCATCACAAAGAAAGGGCTGGTGGAGTGGCTGAAGGTGTAGGCCCTAAGTTCAAACCCCAGTACCGCAAAACAAACAAACAAACAAACAAACAAACAAACAGAACAAGCAAGTACATCACACCCTACACTCCAGAAAACAAACCTTGTGAAGATACGGTAACCTGAAAAAAAACAAGAGAACAGCCAAGCATCCAGCTCCTGTCTAGACCCACAAATAAACTGTACCTTGAATATTTTCTGTAAGTTATCAATGTCTGGAGATAAAGCTTTTCTGAGTAAGATAAAGCGAGAAAAGCTTTTCCACCATCAACAGTACATAAATGTAAATTTAGCACTCTCAGTAACTGCAATACACAAGTTTTTGCATACAACTGTCTGCCCTGACTCCTTAACACCCGGTTACAAGTACAGTTCTTTTCCTTTCTACATATTTTTGGATGAGTTGTCCATTCACAGGAGCATATTAAAAGTTCTGAAAAGTCCTGCAGTAAAGAAACTCTCACTTAGCATTTCCAAACCTATGTGGAGACCATACAATCTATGAGAACATGAGCTCTGATGCACAGCCTCTGCCGCTTGGAGGCTGAATGGCCTTGGGTCCACTCTGAGGCTCAGTTGGATGACTGAGCTAGCTGGTTGACAGTGTACAAACTATACCCATGAGACTTGCTAGAGCACCCAGTAGAGCCCCAGCCTATAGTAAGCCCATCAAACATGAGTTAGTACTTAAACAGATGTGATGCCTTCCCAACATCCTAACTCACTGTTACTTTACACATAGCAACATCCTGCAGGACTTCCTCGTTTGAGAAACGGGGAAAAAAAGTTTTGGGTTCAGGCTATTTTCAGGTGCAAAAAAGAAAAAATCAAGATGAGTCTGATTTAACTTCTTGTTCCTGCATGAAGATGTGAAATTCGCCAGGAGCTGGTGGCTCACACCTGTAATCCTAGCTATTCAGGAGGAAGAGATCAGGAGGATCGAGGTTCAAAGCCAGCCTGGGCAAACAGTTCATGACACCCTATCTCGAAAAAACCCACCATAAAACAGGGCTGGTGGAGTGGCTTGAGGTATAGGCCTTGAGTTCAAGCCCTGGTACCACAAAAAAAAAAAAAGTGTAATTCTAGCCAAGTTTCAAATCTTTCTCAGCATAAAATTTCCTTATCTGTACAATTATATACTGCACTGTGTTCAGGTTCAATTACCAAGCACTACATAAGTGTGCACTGTTTTGTGGACACATGCTAGCAGCATGGGAATGGTAGAATTAAACCATAGAGTGAGTGGGGAAATAGAGGTTTTTCTAGGTAGCTAGAATCTACTTTGCAGTGCATAGCGATATAGTAACACTTTCTCCAACAGGGGAAAGTATACAAAGAAAAATAAGTAAACTTATACATATATACACACATCTTCACAAAAGACATCCTAGTACAAGTAACCTAATATAAGTATTTTTATAGACACTAAATGCAACTTTCTGACAAGTGCTTAACAAAAACCAGCACTGGGTAAACTGGCTCAACTCTTAGTATCTAATGCTAACAGAACTCTTTATATATTCACTTCTCACACATTCACACTAATGAAGTAACAAAGTGTTTATTACAAAACCAAACTTTAGAAATCTTTCCCACACAGGTTTTACCAAAACCAATTAAAATAAAATTTGTACAGGATGGTGGTATCCTTTATTCAAAATACCTGGGACCAGAAGTGTCTTGAATTTCAGATGTTTTGGGATTCTGGAATATCTGTGCATATATAATGAGACATCTGGAGGATGGAACCCAAGTCTAATCATGAAATTGTTTCATGTACACCCTAAGCACTACTACTACAGGTGCATGGGGTCTGCACCTGTCAACAGCCTCTTTGTGTCCCTTTACTCTCCCCAAATCTCATTTTCCAGTCGCACTGTAAGCACCAACCCTATCCCCCCTCACACACACTCCTGCTTATATACCATAGCCTTAAAGTAATGGTTTTGTTTTGTTGTCTTTACGATGACAGGGTCTTGCTATGCAGGCCAGGCTGATCTCCAAGTGGAGATTCTCCTGCCACAACCTCCCAAATGCTGGGATTACAGGCTAGCACCATCATGGCCTGCTTCTATAAGTTATTATATACAGTATTTTCAGTAACTTTGTACACATCATGTCGGCGCTCAAAAGGTTCTGGAGCATTTCAAACGTTGGATTTCCAGATTAGCTAAGGATGCTCAACCTGTACTTGCCAAGCATACAATTCAAAAGCCTAGATTCCAATGCCAGTAAGCCACAAGTCCAAGAAAGGGTGTTGCACGACCGAACTATTTCTATTTCAAAGCAGCAGTGACACCACAGCTTTCTGATATCCTATTTTCTGTATTTCTGCTCGTGAGGAAAAAGGAATGGCTTGACCTCCCTGGGTCTGGGAGTCCCGCCTGCGGGGGGAGCAGCTCCGCTCCACGGCCAGCGCCCATCGGTCCCGCCCTGCATCCTCCCCACTCTGCTCCCTGCGAACTGCAAGCTGGGGTTGCAGCCGCGTCCGCGCGTCCGTCCGTCCACCGCGGCGGCTCTCGGAGGCCAGTTTCCGCGAGGATCGGGACCCACTAACAAGCTCCATCAGTCGCACGACCGGGGCCTCCCCGCCCCCGCCGGCCCCCGGCATCCGGCCTCCCGACCCCGGGCCCCGCGGAGCCGCCACAAGCCTCCGGCCAACAGCTGAGGAACTTTCCACGAGTCCCGCCCCAGGTCCCCCCAGTCCGCAGGTCCCGCGCTCCCGGACCCGCGGCGACGCGCACTGACCTGCAAGTGACCTGCTTGGTGCTCATGGCGGCCGGGCTGGAGGCCGTCGTCCCCACGCCGCCGCCGCCGCCGCCGCCGCCGTCGCCTCTGCTAGAGCCGGCCCCACCCACGTAGCCGCGTCACACCACCCCTCACGTGCTGCACCTTTGTAGCGCCGGCCGGAAACTTCGCCGCCGTCACAATTGGTTCCGCACCGGGGGGTGGGGCTGGACGGAACCCGCATCCCGGCGCTCCAGGTCCCGCGCTTCCGGTCCTCTGGGCGGAGCCTGCTTGGCGTCTCGGACCTGCCAGGCTCCTCCTTGGCGACCTCTTGCGTCCTCCCGCGACATCTCCCCACCTCCCTGAGCGCCTGCGGCTGCAGCGCCGCCATCCACCGGACGTGCGCTCCCGGCACTGCTACGCCGTCCTCGCCGCCGCTTCGGGACGTCGTCCTCCGCACAGCTCCTTCCCGCCAGGGTTCAGCCCTCGTTCTCTGTTCTTCCCTGGCACTTCGCAGCAGTTGGTCTGCCAGTTCCTAAGACGGGAACCCCAAAAGTCACCCCGCCACCTCCCTGTGCCCCGGTACCCCGCACATGTCCCCCGCCCCCTTCGGCCGTCGCGGTTCCAGCCAAGCCACCATCACTCCGCCCGCCTGAGTCCTCCCATATAAAATCTATTTTTAAAACGTACGTCATGTGACTCGTGTGCTAAAGCGTTTTTGAAGTTTATTTTTTTGACATTAAAAAACACGAAGCTGGGCGTGATGGTGCACAAGCTGTAATCCCAGCACTGGGGAATTGGAGCCAGGAAGATCATGAGTTCGAGGCCGGCCTCGAACTGCATAGCAAGACTGTCTCAAAACAAAACCAAATCCTAAAAAAAGAAACGTAAATACACAATATAAGTGCACAAAATGCTATAAGCCTCTGAGTTTTTTCGTGTGTGGACACTCAGGAAACCATCACCCACCCAGGTCAAGAGAAAGAACATCAGGAACGTGAAATACTTCAGTGTTTGCACTTTTGTCCGCTGCCCTTTGACCTCGATGACGACCACTATTATTATTTAATTACTGTTATTATTATTTGGGGAGTGGGCTGAGGCAGGGTCTCCTTATGTAGCCCAGGTGACCTGAAACTTGAAATCCTCCTGCCTCAGCTTTCTGGGTGCCTGGATTGCAGCCATGTGCCGGCACAGCTAGTTTGACCAGCGTTGTTTTCTGTGAAGCTGTTCCAGGTTGTGTACAGCTGTATATTCTTTCACTTTGCAGTAAAATCACTGAGTCTTCCAGCGAATGAACACTCTGTTCATTCATCCAGTTACTTAGAGCTTTTGAAATTTTCCTCAGAAAATTAGAGGTAGATTGGAAGTTTTGTAGTTTTCAGTGTGTGAGTCTTCAGCAATTTAAGACTTATTCCTAGATATCTAGATTTATTTTGTGCTAATTTAAATATTTTTTAAATTCCTAATTGTTGCTGTGTACAGAAACATTTGATCTTTGTATGTTGGCCTGGGTTCCAGCTCTATGATAAATTTTAAATTAATTCTAACAGGTTTTTCTTTTTGGGGGTGTGTAGACTTTCGGTTTTCTACACACACAATCATGCCATCAGAAAGTAATGTTTCACTGCATCTTAATCTTTGTAATCTTATTTCTTTTTATAGCCTTATCGCACTGTCTAGGACCTTCAGTATGTTAAGGAGAAGTGGTAATGTGTGGTGTGAAGTTTTATTCCTGAATTCAGGGAAAGTGCTTAACACTTTATCATTAATTACAATCAAATGTCTCTCTAGCCATGTGGCTTTTATTCATAATAAACAGTATCAGATCCTTGTCACCTGAGCTGGTGCCCCTCTCTGGACTGCCTGCATTCCCTGTAACGAGCAGCCTGGCAGACATGAGTTCTATGGTCTTTCCAGCTGTATGAGCATGGAGTGCTTCCTCGCGGCATGCCGGCGCACGGCTGCAATGCTTTCTCTGCATCCGAGCATGCGATGAGCCTTCCGGAGGTCCCTGTCCTCACCAGGACACCTTCGCCTGGAACCGCCCTTGAAGGCTGTTTCCTGTGGGACTCTGGCATCAGGAGGACCCTGCTAAGGTGCAGACCACACATGGGTCGCTACACAGTCGTCTGAAAGGATAGTCTGGACCCACGCTACTAATGCTGGGGGAAATTTCTGAGATGGGAGAGAAACACACGCCTGGAAGCAGAAGTCAGCGTTAACAGTAGAGGGTCTGGAGCAACCGTGCACAAACAGCCGCCTACCTTACCATCATTTCTCCAGGGAGTAAGTACGCTGGATGACAAAATGGAAAGGGAGAAGTGAGGGCTGTTGTTTTTTTCCTCTATTTCTGTGTGGTTGTTTAAAATTATTTTATAATTGAAAAATCACATGATGTATAATATATTAGAATTTTCTCAAACTGAATACTTCAGTATAGTCAAAATCCAGTTAAAGACTTGGAAGAGCCCCAGGCCGGGAAATCACCTCTGCCCTTCCTTGACAATCTTCCTTACGTGGTGCAATCACAGTCCTACCTTCTCATTGTGCTGTTGAGTGTTGTGTTTGGTTGTTTGGTTGGTACTATTAAGTTTTTATGAGCAAAATTATTCCTATAATATAAAATGTCTAAACAAAATAGCCTAGAAAGATTTCATGTATCTATGCAAAACCAAAATGATATAACCTATGGTGGGAAAACAAACATAAAGGTCAGAGTCTTCACTAATGCCATGTATCTGCATGGAATACTTATTTTTCTTTTTTTGCAGATCAGGCAGTGGAACCCGGGGCCTCGTGTATGCTAGAAGCACTGTAACAATGAGCTATACTCTAAGCCTGAATGTAAGACATTTTGAAAAAAATTATAAATAAACAAAAAATAAAGATCAGTCCACAAACCCAAGATATTCTCATACTAGTGGGAAAAAGACAACTAATTTTTTTGGCGGGGAGGACTGGGGTTTGAACTCAGGGCTTCACACTTGCAAAGCAGGTGCTCTGCCACTTGAGCTACTTCTCCAGTCCATTTTGCTCTGGTTATTTTGGAGATGGAGGTCTCCAGATCTATTTGCCTGGGCTGGCCTCAAACCTTGATTCTCCTGATCTCAGTCTCCCAAGTAGCTAGGATTATAGGTGTGAGCCACTGGCATTCAGCTTGAAACAAGTAATTTTATTATTATTTTATTTATTTATTTGGCAACACTGTGGTTTAAACTCAGGGCCTCACGCTTGCTAGGCAGGCGCTCTTACCACTTGAGTCACTCTGCCAGCCTTGAAATGAGTAGTTAAATGATAGAGTTCTTACAGAACCATGAGTGTGGGGCTGGCTGCCCAAGAAAACACTGGGGGAAACTGAGATAGTCTGCACAGAAAAGTAGGATTTTAAAGAATGTACAGGAGCTGGCTGTTACCAGCTGCAAAATGTACAGAACTTGGTGAGTGAGCACCAATACAAACTAGCTCTTTAAGAGCCCAGTCTCTAGGCTGCCTGGTTACTGGTTAATCCTATCTGGCTCGGCTTCTGCAGTCTTCAGTCAGAATGATGTCACTGTCGGTCAGGTTACCACCGCCAGGTGCATTTGCTGGGTGTGTGAGAAGAAAAGGAAGTCTCCAGAAACCTCCCTTGGCAGCCCAGGAGGCGAAAGCTATGCACCGTGCAGAGGCCGGGAAGCCTTTAATTAAATTCAACCACTGCAAGAAATCCATCTACAGCTTCAGGGTGCCCCGGAGCTGCCCCCTCTGCAGGCAGGATGTGGGCTTGACCAAGCTGGAGGAAGCGCCTGTCAGCATCGCCAGTCCATTCACCAACGGGCACCAAGAAAAATGTTCTTTCCTCCTCAGACCAACACACGGCACGTTTCTCAGGTGCAGTTTCCGTGCAAACTTCTCCTTCTGCGCGTCAGTCACTGACGCTTGCTTTTTTTCTGATGCGCGCGGGGTTTGGTGGGCAGTCTTTCCAGTGTTTTGGTCTTAAGTCCTGGTACATAGGCCTTGTTGCTTCATCAACATGAGTGGTGTGAGGCTGGGAGTCCAGCTCAGTGGCAGAGTGCCACAAAGAGAAAAAAGAAAAAAATGGGAGTGGGCGTACACCTGTATAGTGAGGGGTGAGAGAAGATGTGCTCCATACGTGAAGATCCACCCTGCTGAGACTGTTTCAGACAGGAAACTGACCACTCACTGGACAATGACCATCAAGAAATACTGCTACTGATGGTTTGTAGTTTATGTGTTCCTCAGGGCCTGAGGAACAAGCACGTTTAGAGTGTTCTGTGTGGAAGTGGATTAAATTGGCAGCTGGGTTTGAACTCAGGGCCTCAAGGGTGTCCAGCAAGTGCACTCTGCCACTGAGCTGCTGTCTTGATTTTATTTTTATGTTTTTGGCAGCATTGGGGTTCGAACTCAGGCCTGGTGCTGGCCAGGCAGGTGCTTTGCCACGTGAGCTTTGATTGAGGTCAACTCTTGAGGAACTGGAGTTTGAGGCAGCCTGAGCTACGTAGTGAGACCTTACATCAAAAAAAACCAAACCAAACCAAACCAAAAAAACCCCAAAAGGATTGTCTGTGGTGAGTGTGAATGGGAGAGGCCTTGGCCTGCACCAAATGATGGTGCATGCTTCAGCAAGCACTCAGTTCTTGCCTGCGGCTACAGCCCTGGAAAGCCACCTCCCCTCTCTAGGAGCACTGGTTTGGGATGAGAACCCAGGAGGTGACCACACTGTCCTGGTTAATGACATCCCTAATCGAGTCTCTTCCTGTCCCTGTGAGGATAAAGTCAGCTGCAGTGTGCTTCTGGTCAAGCTGGGTGTGAACGGGAGCACCCCCCCCCCCCGGGCCATCCTCTGTAACAGAAAGCCCCCTCCGGCAATTCCTATCCTGGTCCTTCCACTAACCAGCCCAGGACCCTTTCCCAGGCTCAGCTAGTCCCAGTCTACAGGTAGAGGTTAGGCACTCAGCTCCGGCAAGCCTAGTCCTGTCCCCCATTCTGCTCCTCTCACATTTGGTCAGATCAGAGCTCCAGAGCCTGGCAGGGCCCTCACTTCCACCCTAACGCGAATCCTTAAGCCCCAGCTGTTTAAGAGCCTCTTGTTCATGCCAACTGAGTCATTCTCTGGTTGGATTCCAAAAGCTTTTGAATAAAATGGACAAAATTCAGAATTAGTTTCCCCTAGGGTTGGTTCACTCAGCAAACCCTTACTGGGCTGCTCTGTGTGGGAAATGCTGGGAGATCACAAGGAACAAGCCACAGCCTGCACTCATGACCTGATGTGACATGACATGACATGCTTTTGGCAGGACTGCAGTTTGAACTCAGGGCTTCACACTTTCTAGGCAGGTGCTCTACCACTTCAGACACCTGCTAGCTGGACATGCTTTTGAATTGACTTTTAATAAGCCATCATAGTCATTGTTGTCCCCACCTACTCCTTGCACGTCCAGGCAAAGTGCTGTACCACTGAGGTGTATCCCCAGTCTGCATTTGTAGAGGTTTAGGAGAAGGATGGAGGGGGCGAATTCAACCATGATACCTTGCAAGAACGTTTGTAAATGTCACACTGTACCCCGGTACAACAATAATACGGTAATTAAAAAATGAGTAAACCAAGTAAATGTAGTAGCGATTTAATGATGTCATTCCAATGTAAATATCAACAATTCTTTTCTGGAGTTGAAAAGAAAAATTTAAAGTTAATATGGAAAAACAAACAAACCTCAAGAATATCCACATATAAGTGATGAATTATTATTTTAGCTTTAGATGGTCCATTTTTGGGGGCAGAGATTGAACTTAGGGCTTGCAAAGCAGGCACTCTACTCTCTGAGCCACCACCTCCAGTCCATTTTGCTCTGGTTATTTTGGAGATAGGGTCTCGACAACTATTTGCCTGGGCTGGCCTTGAATCCCAGATCCTCCTGATGGTCAGCCTCCCAAGTAGCTAAGGGTTACAGAGGTTAGCCTCCGGTGCTGAGCTGGTCAATTGTTTTTTAAAGAAACCAAGCAATGGAAAAATGTGTTTTACACCACTCACATGCTCGTCTGGCTGCACGCTTTGTTTCTCTGTGTACGTGTAAACTTCCTTCTGACCTCATTTTCCACAGCTTGGCCAATCACCTCTTTAAGGCATTCCTTGATGCCCTCAGGAGTGGACTAGCAGTGTGACTGTAGGGTGGGCTAGTTGTCTCAGGAGGAGTTCCTAGTGGAAGGTGAGTCTGGCCTCCATGCTCACTCCGTGTCCCCCTCTTCCTCACTCAGCATCCTTTCTTCTCTGACATGGAGACACGGAGGGCCTGGTCTCAGTAGGCATCCACAGAAGGAACAGGTGGAATGCTTTGACATCTTCCCCTCCCTTCCAGTGCTTAGGCCGGGATCTGCAGGAACCCTAAGGTGGCCCCTACCCACCACCTCCTCTAAGGCCAAGTCCTCGACTGTTCCCTTCCCTCCCATCCAACTTCCCAAGCCCTCTATATTGAGTCCCATAACTCACCTGACAAGACAGTTGCACTGACTTGGCAAAAGAGAACCAGCAGTGACCCAAAGAAATCACCTAGGCTCTGATCTAACTAGGATAGGATCCCTCAGGGCTACCACTTACAGTTGTGTGGGTTGTGGACTGCACAGAGGTTCCTGGTGAAGGTAGGGAGGAGTGCTGAAACCCAGCCTGTACTCCACTCACCAAGCCAGGTGCACCATGCAGTGTTGCAGTAAGAGGTCCCTTTTCCTAATCTGTGCAAAAGTACCACAGGAGACTGGGAGGCCATGGCCCGTGCTTCTGAAATATTGTACATTTTTTCCCTTTGCAGCACTTATCAATCTATTACAAACTTAATAAACTTCCATCACCAGCACCAGAAACAAAGCAAAACAAAAAAGCAAGCTTGTTAAACTAAAACTAAAAAGTCTTCCTGGAAGCAAGCCCACCACATGCAGAGACCTGGAACTATTTCCTGTGCCACAAGACACGACAGACCCAGAGTGGCGTCCAGCAAACATCTGTCACAGGACTAAGAAGAATTAGGGGAGGAGAGGTAGTGCCTAGGAATGAGCAGGGGAACAAAAAGCCAGGGAGGTCCCAGGGAGCCATCCTGAGGCAGCATTCACAGGTACAGTGCTGAAATCGGTGACATCCACGACTGTCACCTTTTGACCTCATTCTCAACCTCTGAACTCACAGAGTCTCCACAAGTTCAAAATGGCTGCAACAAGACAACCTGGGGGGATGGCTCTAAGTAAGGAGGGGCAGCCACTTGTATCCTTGGCCATTTTCAAGCCTGGATTACTTGTTTTATTGAGAAAACAAATATCCAGACCTGTGGTCTTACAAAACTTTGTCATTTAAAAAATTACCTGTAGCCAGGCTCTGCTGCTCATAGCTGGAATCCTAGCTATTCAGGAGGCAGAGATCAGGAGGATCGAGGTTCACAGCTAGCCCAGGCTTAGTTTTGAGACCCTATCTCAAAAATACCACACACAAAACAGGGATGGCGGAGTGGTAGAGTGCAAATGTGATACTCTAAGTTTAAACCTTAATACCACACACACACACAAATTACCTCCTGAGACCGGGCTTGGTGGTGTGTGCTTGCAGTTCTAGTAACTCAGGAGGCTGAGGCAGGATCCTAAGTTTGAGGCCAGCCTGAGGTCCATGGTGAGACAAGCTGGGCCAGGCACGGTGGCTCACGCCTGTAATCCTAGCTACTCGGGAGGTAGAAATCAGGATAGAGATTTGAAGCCAGCCCAGGCAAAAAAGTCTGTGAGACTCCATCTGAACTGATAACAGCTGAGACAGTGGTGCAGGCCTGTCATCCCAGCTACATGAGAAGTGTAAATAAGAAGATTTTGGTCCAGGCTGGCCGAGGCATAAATTTGAGACTCTATCTGAAAAATGTGTAAGTGAAAAAAGGCTGGGAGTGTGGCTCAAGTGGTAGAGTGCCTGCCTGGCAAATGCAATGTCCTGAGTTCAAACCCCACTACGTCCAAAAGCAAGAAAAAAAAATGGGAACCCCCCCAAAAGAATAAGGTTCAAGATGGAACCCTGAATTCCATCCCCAGCACCAAAATATACACACCACCTCAAACAAACGGAAAAAGTAACTTCATGAAACAGGCTGCCCAGGAGAAGTGGGTGAAACACAGGCTGTAAGAGCCACTTGGCCAGGGCGGTTAGGAGGACTGAGGTCCCCTAAGATCAGACTGCAGGATAAAGGGTCGCTGCCACAGAAGGGACCTGCCCTAACCAATGACTCCCAGTTGGGCCCTGGGCGCCAGGTGGCGTGCTGACGTCAAACTCTAGAAGAGCTGCCTTTGAGGCTTGAAGAAAATGCAGAAGTTAGGACAGTTTCCCAGGACAGAAACTGGGCACAGTGGTGTGAGCCTGCAGTTCAGCTGCCTGGGTGGCTGAGCTGGGAGGATCACGTGACCCCAGAGCCACCTGGAGGTCAAAGCCAACCTGGGACAACACAGTGAGATCCCATATCAAAAAACAAATGTAGCTAATAGCACCTGTTTCTTTCAGGGAGTATGATGGAAGCTCTGATCTTCACGTTGGAATCACTAACACAAATGGTGAGTGCATTTTCAAGCTTTTTTAGCTTTATGTAACTTCCCAGTATAGTCATGAGGAGAGGGGAGTTGCACCAGGTCACTGTCATTCCTGTTCCCTGGCTCTCCCACTGCACTGCGAGGGGGGAGCTGCCACTCCCAACAGAGCAACACTGCTTTATGACAAGTCGTTACCACTCATGCAGAACACATGGCAAGTTCTTGCTTGTTTTGATGCTGGGGTTGGAATCCAGGGCCTGGTGCATGATTACTGAGCTGCACCCCAGCCCCTGAAAGCACTTTAATATTTTCTCAGCAAACAGCGTCAGAAGCTTGTGCATTTTGTGTGTGTGTGGTTCTGGGGATTGAACCAGGGTCTCATGCTTGCTAGACAGGTGCTTTTCCACTGCTGGGGGATGGGGAAGGGGAGAGTAGTCACCTATTACTACCTTCTGCTCCCTGGGGTAAAGTCACGAGAGGTAGGGCACCAGTTCCCCTGAAGGCAGGCTCTGCAGATACAGGGGAGGTAAAGCTGCCTCTGAACCTCACTAAGTGGACCTTTGCTTCATACTTAATCCTAGACTTTCTTACCTGGCAGCGTCCATTGCTCTGACAGTAACAGGAAAGTGCGACCTGGATTTCTGGAACATCACCTAGGTGGCTGTGGTCACTGTCCAAGGTGCCTCTCACAGAGGTGCATTTCCTGCAAGGCCCAGCCTGACCTCGCTTTGCGTTCACAGGAGTTGTGTACAATTACAACCAACAAGGTGTCCAGCGAGATGAGGCAGGGTGGGAGCAGAGTCTAAGTGTTCCTTTGGTTCAGCCTGGCATGTTTGGACTGTTGGACCACTGGGACAAGTACCTAGAAGACTTCTCTGCCACCGAGGATTGGCTGCCTCACAGGTAGGAGCTGCAAAGGCCACCCACTCCCTGGCACTCTTTCGTCACGAAAGTTGGGTCCCTGTGTGGTCCAGGTGCATTTAATGTCCAGGCCAGTCCTCTCTGAGCTGGAAGCAGGGTTGTGTTACTTCAGGTTTTCTGCAGAGGTGTGACACACACTGACATATTTTGGGTTTTTTGGTGCTATTCTTGCTATGTTGCCCAGGCTGGCCTCCATCCCAGGGACCACTGAGCTACTGTCAGGCCCAAAGTCACAGAATTTTAAGAGCTGGAAGAATCAGAGCCTTACACTCCATTTAATTATTTTACTTATGTGACTTTTTTTTTTAACTTTTATTTTCAGACAGGGCCTTGCTAAGTTCTAGCCCAGGCCTTGAACTTGTGATCCTCCTGCCTCAGCCCTCTGAGTACTGAGATTACAGGGGTGGGCTTCCACTCTGGGCTGTAACGAGGAACTTTTACACAGAGAGCACAAGGGATGACATACATTCTTTAAACTTTTTTTAAACAATTTTTAAGATGTAACAATACAAAATATCGAAAGCTCCAGCTTTTTTAGAAATTCTGAAATTAATTTCTCAATTCTTTCCCTCAACATTTCAGAAGAAACCCTGGTGGGTTTAAATTTTCTGAGGCTTCCCTTGAGATGAGTTTAGACCCCGAGGAATACCATAAAACTCAGATACTGAGCCTCACCCCTACAGTCTGGAATTTCTCTCAGATGAAGTTATCCAGATGGGCAGTTTATATACCACCAAGCCCTGGACATGCAGGTGATCCTCTGGCCTGTCCTTCAGGAGCAAGGAGAAGTGGCCCAGGGTGCTAGGCGTCCCTCACAATTGCACCTGCCCCTTCATAACCAGTGGCTCAGCACACAGGGCCGGCCTGCTGCAGAAACAGACTCAGTTATGGAAGGCATTGCATGGCTTCTCAGCCTGATCCTGAGCAGTTTGTTTTGTTTTGGAGGCAGGGTCTCTCTGTGTAGCCCAGCTGGCCTGGAACTCACAATCCTCCTGCCTCAGCCTCCTGAGTCTGAGCAGATTTCAGAGCTCCGCTTTTCAGGGGCCGACATGGTGACCGCACCCGTCATCCCAGCACTCGGGAGGCTGAGGCAGGAGGACTCCTTGAGGCCAGACCAGCTTGGCAATGGAGTGAGGCCCTGGCTCTTACACAAGCAAGCAAACAATGAGAGCTTGCCTTCCTGTTTCTGCGAAGGTATGAAGAAGACCACCACAACTGCTACAGCTACACCCTCACCTTCATCAACTGTGTTCTGGTCACGGAAAGCAGAGCGCAACTGGGCAAGAGCGAGTTCACGGAGAAGTACGTGCTCCCCAGGACCAGGCTGGCCTCCAAGTACATCATGCTCTACCGGACCATCGAAGCGCGGGGCTTCCACGCCGCCGACCGTCCTGACCCCGACTCAAGCCCTCCCTGCAGAAGCAGTGTGCTGTGCGTGACGACAGAGGGGGCTGGGCACTCAGGCCACCACCCTTAATCCGTACCGTGGAGTTCTAAATGCATTAAACTGTGGCTAATTTTAAAAGGACGTGCTTCTTCTTTAAGCTTATTTCAGCTAAGAATTTACAAAACTAATAAAAATTGTGGGCTGGGGGTGTGACTCAGAGGTAGAGCACTTGCCTAGCACATGCCAGGCCCTGGGTTTCATCCCCAGCACTGCAAAAAAAAATTTTTTTTAATTAGAAAAACAATTGGCCTCTTTTTTTTTTTTTTTTAATTACCTGCATTACAACTAAATTATTTCCAAAGCAGCTGGGTTTTAAGTTGAGACTGTGTTACAACATCAAGTGGCAGCAGCTTTTATTCACTGAGCAAAGAAAACTCTTCCAATTAATTAATTTAAGGTGAACAAGTTCACATTTGGAGGGGAATCCTGCAAGTGGAGAGCTGGAGGTAGGAGGGTGAGGGAGACACAGGTTGGGAAGGAGTGAACGTCTTTCATTTAAAGGCACGTGGTAACCTTTTCCTAGTCAATAGTGAGATGCAAGGAAACAAAACAAGTGTAACAGGAGCTCCTCTGGAATCATGTTTCCTTCTCCTCCCTTTGCCTTGAAGGGAGATTCAGTCACTGCCCTCATCCCTCAAAGGCAGCACCTAGGTCACCAGACCACTGTCCTTCCCGCTGCTGGCCACACCAAAATCAATTCCTTTCCTGTTTCACAACCATTTGTTCCTCTGCTGCCTGTATCTTTTGGAGCAAGTGGCTGGACTTGGCTTTGGGACCCTCCAGAGTTAGGTCTCTGGCCTAGACTTTGGTAAGACAAGAAAGCCCCTCAGACTCTTAAGTCAGGGATGGCCACTGCTGGGAAAGAGCTCTTCTGAGTCCCTAGTCACAAATTGCATTGATGTCACTCTAATTAGCAAAACTCCATGTCCTTTCATGTCCCCTGGTCTGGCTGTGGAGTGGGCATTGGGTTTACCTCTGCCCACTGCAAGTGCAGAATTCAGAAAGAACACAGGAGGCTGTCTTCTTTCTCCAGGACCTTCAGGATAAGGAAAGGGGAAACATGGATGAGTAACAATGCAGAAATGAGGTGATTTTTAACAGGAATATTAGAATTTGTACACTTAAATAATCATCAAACGTAACTTGTCCTAGAGCTTGCTTTGTTTTAAAAGCCATGTGATCTACTCCACTTGATTTCATTCCTGGCCTGAGCACCAAAGGATATCTCATTTCCAAAATCTGAAACCATCCTTAAGTTACCAACAATTGCCTAATATTTAAGTAACTTGATGGGAAGCCATCAGACAGAGGTGGATCTAAAATCTATTCCTATTTAAACAAAATGAAGCTTGAGCTTAGTTATCTAGTTAATCATAAATGGTCAAGTGAGGGCTGTCGGTGTAGCTCGGTGTAGTGCGTTTGCCTAGCATGTGTAAGGCCCTGGGTTTGATCCCCAGCACTGCAAAAATCAACCAACCAACCAACAAATAAATAAATCGCTAACTGGGCAATAGTTATATAATCAGAGACTTAGTGCTGGGTTAATCCAAACAAGGCAACTGCTCAAAGTTTAATCAAATAATTTCTTTGCTGTGCTTCCTCCTGCATCCTATAAAAGCCTTCCCTCCAAGTAGAGCCCACAGACTTTGGGTTTGGCTCTACCCAGTGTGTCAGTATTTTTGTACGTGCTATGCTGGGATGCCAGGACCTCGTTTGTACAGGCTATGCAGGTCCACTGAGCTACATCCCAGCCCTCCTATAACCAATTCATAGGTTGCAGTTTGCCCAAATAAACTCTCTAACTTTTTAAGTGTGCCTTACGTTTTAATGCTAGTAATATAGTCAGAAAACTTGCTATATAGATCCTTGAAACGTGTTTCCAAAGAGGTGTCTGGTTAATGTTTCAATACAGGTAACTTCAGTGGGAAAAGTGAATGGCATTTCAAATGTTTCCATTTACAAGTTTAAGGACTTTTCTTTAGAGACAAACAAACCTGGTGGGTCATGGTGGTATATGCCTGTAATCTCAGCAGTGGGTACACAGACTTAGTGGGATCTTGAGTATGCACCAGCCTGGGCTACATAGTTCCAGACCAGTGTGGGAAATACAGTGAGACCCTGACTCAAAACACAAAACAAAAGGACTGGCGGAGTGGCTCAAGTGGTAAGAACGTCTGCCTGGCAAGTGAGGCCCTGAGTTCAAGTCCCTGTGCCACACACACACACACACACACACACACACACACACACACAAATTATCAGCTTTTAGCCAGGTGCTGGTGGCTCAAGCCTGTAATCCTAGTTATTCAGAGGCACAGATCAGGAGGATTGCATTTTGAAGCCAGTCCTGACAAATAGTTTGCAAGACCCTATCTTGAAAAAAATCCATCACAAGAAAGGGCTGGTGGAGTGACTCAAGGTGTAGGCCCTGAGTTCAAACCCCAGTATTGCAAAAAAAAAAAAAAAAAAAACCCAAATACCCCCAAAACCAAAATTGCCCAGCCAGGTATCATAGTGACCCCACCAAACCACCGTAAACAGAACTGATTGGCATGGTACCTCAGAGGATAAAGATGAAAGATCTGTGGGGTCTGCAACTCACAAGTGTTGGATTTCTGACCTTACGATGCTGCAAGAGTGACACACATTCCTTTCATTAAACGGGGCTCCACGCCAGACCCAACTCTTCTTCCCACTCATCCTCAAGGCCGCCCTCTGTCCGAAGTTACACCTGTTTGGCAGATGAAAAGACCTGCCTAAAGTCACAGTGGCACAGCTGGGGTTCACACCTGGGCTTGTCTGTGACACCTGTATACTTGACTCTGAGGCCACAGAGCAGGTGAGCAGCACAAGCCCGGGGTAAACCGAGACAGACCAGCCATGCTAGGGTGTGCGGCGCCTGGGTCAGCTTTCACCTTCATTAGAGGTAAAGGAGAGAGTGAGGTAGCTGGCCTCTTACTTCTTCACTTGCATCAGCCGGTACACACGCCCCACTCTTACCAAACCACAGTGGCAAATCTATAGGTTTTACCTAACTGAAGGAGAGTAAGCCCCGAGATAACACCGACAGATGGTAATGTTGCTCAGCTTTGCAGACTTCTGAGTGGGGACTTTTGATTGTTTCCTTCATCGTAACTAAATGCTAACTGCCTGATAAGGACCCAGCATTGCACCAACTCTGTTCCCCAGATGAGGTCTCAGGTTCTCTCTGGCACCTTCCAAAGGCACCCCTTCATGTCATAGCTCAGTGTCACCTGAGGCACACCTCTGGGACTGGGACTACGTTGACGGAGAGACCGTGGGCCCCTTTCCACACCATGAGCCTCTGTCACAGAACTGAAAGATGAAAATGACCAAGGTATGTTCCAAAACCTCTATAGCACACATGAAATACTACACCCAGGAAAACCCAATAAACATTAGTACAGAAAAACAGAAGAAAAAAATAGTCCTCAGCTTTGTCAACCTGCCTAGGACCAGTGTCCCATCCACTTGAGTTTAACCACTGAAAGGGGCCACCTACAAACCAGGGATGTCCACAAGTGTCCCTGTTTGTGAGTGCAAGAGAGCCATCAGTGCAGAAGACCCCTGTTCCGCACACCTCCCCCACCCTGCCACCCCGTTGTGGGGGTGAGGCTGGAGAATGTGAGCTTGCACAACCTGAGACAGCAGGATGAGCACAAAACCATCAGCCAGGCAGTGACTGCTCTCATGGGGGCTTAGATGTGAGGGTCCACTCCCCAGGACACCTTCCCCTCCCCAAAAGGTCACGAGGGCTGCTCCCTTCCCAGGACAAATAATGAAAGCAGGGAGATGCTGACCACCAGGCCCTGTACCAGGTAGCTCAGAAGGATCGGCCACTCTCCCAGGCCCCTCCTCGGGGTGGTAATGGGATTTCCCCTTTCCAACAAAGCTGAGGTGAGAGTCATATTACATATTTTAACCCTTTTAAAGTGGACAATTCAGTGCCACTTCCTACGCTGAAGATATTGTGTGACCACCACTCTAGTTCCAAAACATTTCCCTCAGCCCAAAAAGCCTCTGCGACCACTGAGCAGTTGCCCCCATTCTGGCTGACCCCTAGCCCCTGGTGACCGCCAGTGGGCGGTCTCCCTGGATCTTCCTGCTTTGGCTATTTCACAGGAATATATGTATGGTGTCACACAGTATGAGGCTTCTTCTCTGGTTTCTTTCACCTGGCATGTTTTTGAGGTTCATTCACATTTTAGCAGGTACTGGTGCTGCTTCTTTTTTTATTTTTTTGAAACACGATTTCACTGTGTAGCCCATTATTTCATTCTGTAGCCTGGACTGGCCTCAAACTTGCAATTCGCCCTCCTCTGTCTCCTAAGTACTGGGATTATAGATAGTCATGCACTCCTAGGCCTAGCCATTTCTCTTGATGGCTGAACAATATTTCACTATGTGGGCCAGGGCCAGCACCTCGGGTGAGTGTAGCCCAAGCCTGCACCCAGGAGCACATGGTTTTGCAGACAGCCTCAGAAGGCTGACAGGATCTGTGAGGACCATCTACGGAGCCACGCTTAGCAGCCTTGGTACGGTGTAGGGTGCTTAGCTTAAGTTTTCTTTCTCTGGTCCTTGGAGACTGGTCTCTCTATGTAGCTGGACTTGAACTCGTGATCGAGTATGGTAATTCCAGTTTCAATTCAGGGACAAGGTCACGAATGAGGTTAGGACTGCACAGCTGGTACATTAGTACAAGGGATGCAACCTGGGACTCTAACATCCTGCTCCACTAAGGTATTATTGAAGCCATCTGTCTCCTATGTGAAATTTGAAACCCCTGAACACTGAACTGCCAACTCAACCCGGAGGAAGTAGTGGTGCCCAAGGGGGAGCCTGGCTTGCCATTAGGGAACCAATGTTCCCCCCATTACTCTCCACAGGGCCAGCCCAGCAGGACTGCAAGAGTCCCTGCTCACCTCGTTCCACTCTAGTCTGCATTTGTTCCCTGCCTGCTCTCCTCCCGCTCACCTCAGCTCTCAACACAGAACTTGCTCTGCCTGATGAATGCCAGTTTGGTGGCTTTGGGTCACCCCTGCCAGGAAGGAAGAGGACTCCACAGTGATTTGTGCTTCCTAGGTTCTCCTCTGTCCACATAACCCTGCGACCAGCGCAGCATCCCCAAGGCCCCAATGTAGGAATCAGGTCATGGCAAATAAATTGCCCACAGCACACAATAGCACAAAGCCACTGAGGGGCGGGGCTGGGACCTTTCTAAAAGGTTCACTTCACTGCCCAGCTTCAGTAGAAATGTCTCTAGGGAAGCAAAGGTAAGCACTAAACTGGGTGTGGTGGTGCATGCCTGTGACCCCAGCACTCAGAAGGCTGAGGCAGGAGTATCACAAGTTCGAGTCCAGCTACATAGAGAGACCCAGTCTCCAAGGACCAGAGAAAGAAAACTTAAGCTAAGCACCCTACACGTACCAAGGCTGCTAAGCGTGGCTCCGTAGATGGTCCTCACAGATCCTGTCAGCCTTCTGAGGCTGTCTGCAAAACCATGTGCTCCTGGGTGCAGGCTTGGGTTGCACTCACCCAGGTAGTGGCCCTGGCACAGTTGTGCGGCACACACCCAGCCCTGCCCTCCTTGTGACCTCACCCGCCAGCAGAGCTGTGTCTGGCCTCACGTGGTTTTCTAGGATGGTGCCATTTTAGCTGTGATGACCTCATCCTTTCTGAACCAAGGACTGGGAAGTTCTTGGGCCAAGGCCTCTGCTTGTGTGACTGGTAGTGATGTATGACAGCCACCATCCCCAAGCCTCAGTGGCTCCTTCTGAAGACCCCGAACTTACAGGTCTACTATGGGTACCACCAATACACAGGCACCTCCACATTTAACTCCTGCCTTGATGATTTGCCACCATGATCTGCAAACAACCTTATCTGCTATTGGCTATCCAAATCAAGTACAGCACATATGACTGAGCTGGTGGGAAGATCACCCACGCCGTGGGGCCTGCTGTCAGACATGTGGTACAGAGTTACACCTTAAGTGAGCGTGTCTTCCAAGGAAGCAGAAAGAGCATGTGAACACGTAGTTAAGTTTTGGAGGCCTAGGAAATCTGTTAGGACAAAAGCGGAAAGGATAGTGTACTGAAAAGAAAAACACATAAAAGATAAAATCTTGGCCAAGATTTATTTTTGGGAGTACTGCGGTTTGAACTCAGGGCTTTGTGTTGAGCCATGCCTTCAGCTGCAAAATAATGTTGTTTTTTTTTTTTTTTTCTTGTAAGTTTAGTATTTTGCCCTGACAACAAAATAACTTGTGAAAATACTTTCATGGTGTTCTTGAGAGATCCTTGTACTCAGGGTGTATGGTGAGCTGGTACTGCAAGCGAGACTCACAGCAGAACCTCCGAAGGCCTTTGGAGAGCTGAGGCAGTGACGGAGGCCTTTGATTTAAGGACCGAGAGATTAAGAGCTCTGTAAGGACATGGCTGGGTTTTTGTTGTTGTTGTTGTTTTTGAGACAGGCTCTCGTTATGTAGCCAAGCTGATCTTGAACTTGCCTTGGCTTCCTGAGTGCTGGGATTGCAGGCGTGAACCACTACACATGGCTCAAGTCTGATGCTTTGAAGCCTGTGAAGCAACTTCTGTTCTCAGTGAGGCTGCAGCGTCTCTCTAGTGAAGTGTAGAAAACTCCTGAAAGTGATTTTATCACAAAGTAAAATTTGAATTTTGATGAACCTGGGCCTTTTTTCTTTCTTTCTTTATTTTTGGCGGCACTGGGGTTCAAACTCAGGGCCTCATGCTTGCTAGGCAGGCACTCTTACCGCTACAGCCACTCTGCCAGCCCCTTTTTAATTTATTTTATTGGCTCTTTCTTTTTTTAAACAAATGCAAATTTGAACATTTATTTTAGATGATAAAAGTGACAAGGCACAAAGTCTCCAAAGCCAAGCTAACACTGTTGTCAGCTGGAAACTGGATGATGCTGAACCAAAACCCCGACTGGTATATCATCTCAGAACCCCAAGGCCCAACAGTAATGCTGAAGAACGCACGGCCTGCTATGGGGTGTACAAATCCTATCCCCAAAGAAGGGCACTTTCACACAGGCTTCAATAAAAGACGCCACTTCTGGGGCTGGGGATGTAGCTCAGTGATAGCATGCCTGCCTAGCAAGTGCAGAGCCCGGGATCCCCAGCAGCTGGAGGAAAAAAGATGGCCTCTCTGTAATGTCCCAAGCCCAGTGCTGGGGGTGGAGCCCAGAACCTCATGCACGCTCAGCAATGCTGTCACTAAGTACACCCGAGCCCAAGAGGCTGCCTCTGGGTGGTCTTTGAGAGCCTTCAGCACCACTGTCACAGCACCACTGTCACAGCCAAATCCCAAGGCAGCGCCGCAACCTTCCAGGCATGCTAGCTGGCGTAAGGACCTAAGGTGGGTGCTGAAGGGGACCACATTGGACAATGGATTATGGAGCTCGTAACCACAAGGCACCTGCGGCACTCCTCAGTAGGCTTGGAAAGCAATCTCGTGATGATCAATGACACAGGGAAGAAAGGGCTCTGCATTTTTTTTTATTTTCAAGGTTTTGAGAAATGATAATTCAAAACAAAACTCTTATGTTGCTATGGAGCAATGTAGACAGTAAAAATGCTGAGGAATTACTAGTATCATTAGCAAGAGCTAAGTACTACTAAGAACGTAATACTGATGGCTGCCACTGGCCCGAAGCAGGGGAGCAAGAAGAGCTCCGTCATCTGAGCAACTGGCATTTGAAATCCAGAATGCGCAGGTGTAAGGAGCTGTTGGAAGAGAGCAGGATCCCAGCTGAACAGAAGGATGGAATTAGGACGGACAACTACAAGCAGAGCCTTCCGGCATCAGGAGTGTGAAGACAACTGTCAAGGGAGTGCCCACAGACGTTCATTTTAGTTCCTTCTCCTCTCACTGCTTGTAAAGATGGTTCTCAGCTGTCCTCTTTGGGAGTCCTAAGCGTCAAGACTGCCCACCAGTTTCCTGAATTTGGACTTGGATGCATCTCAGGCATTTCTTTCACACATTCATTCACCAGCTCACTGTGGTGCTCTCACCCCATCCCCCACCCCCCAATCATCCCCTCTGTCCATGTTTTTCCTTGCTATGGTTTGGATTTGGTGTGTCACCATCAAAAGTCACATGAAGTTCAATTTCCCAGTGTGACGGTGCTGAGGGGGAGGGTTCTTTATGGGAGCTAGAGGTCATAAGCTTGGACGGGACTCCTGTAGTCCTTAAAGGATGCGTTAGCTCCTGGGAAAGTGTGTTGTTATAAGGTGAGCCAGGTCTCTCCCCTCCCCAGTCTCTTGTGGTGATGTGGCCTGGAGCCCTGGCAAGAACCCGTGCCAGGCTGTTTGGACTTTCTAGCCACCAGAATTATGAGGCAAATAAGCATTTTTTCTTTATACACTACCCAGCATGTGAGAAGGAACCGATGCTTCTCTTGCCCACAAATGCCCCTCAGGGAACTTCACTGCTGTCTAACCAATTAAAAACGGCTTTGCTTACTGTTTTACTAAATATGAATTGCATTCATTATGTCTCTCCAAACATATTATTTCACTGCTTATTTTTTATTGTAGAACAAGTTCCCTGCAGCAAGATGTAATTTTTAGCTAATATTGTACAATATTGTGCTCTGTACACAAACTTGCCAAATGATGTGTTCACTGAGGACAAAGTGATTTGGTAACTGATGCTTTAAAGGTTTTCTATAATACAGAAAATCTTGGCAGATATGCAATGAATTTTCAAATGTCTGGGTTATTGGCTGAAGTTCTTGGATAAACTGAGACACATGAATTTTTTTTTCCATTTAAAATAATGGATGTGGGATCCTGTGATCCCCAAATCTGCTCCGAGGTTCTTTCTGGGATAGATTAGGCGTGGATAACAGGGATGCTCTATGAACTGCAGGGTGCTGCATATATGTTAACTAGTACTGTTCTCAGGGAAACTCAGAGAGAGATTTCCCGTTGTTGGGAAGGTCCCCTGACCTCCCCAGGGATGGGCTGTGGCTCAGGCACAAAGAACAGGCTCAGCAAGAGAGCGAGAGACTGACAGAGAGGAGTCCTTTCCTCCCTGTGTAATCTTATCTTTTAAAACACTGACAGTTTTCTGGTGCTGAAGCATCACAGCCTTTAAAGTCACTACATTAACAGGTGAATACTATGAAAGGCCTATTACCTAGTCCTGAACTTGGCATGTGGGAGGACACTAAGTGGTCACTGGTTTGCTGAGGAATCTGAGGGCCGAATCATCAGAGTTCATCTTGGTCACTTCTCTCTCGTGAAGAAATCCATCGGCTGAGAATCACCTCCTGCAATTGAGGAAAACAAGAAGAGGGCTAAATTTCAGCACAGAAATGAAAGAAAGTTCCAAGTGTCTGCTTTCACGCCACACTTCACAAAGGGCTGCTGTGCAGTAGTGATTCCCGCCCGGCTTTTGTAACAGGAAGCTTCGGAGAACACATTGCAGCAACATAATCCTGAGGTGCCACGTGTGTCCATCCCCCCGGAAAGACTTTAAGGGGGGCCCTTGCCTCTGCCATGGTGTCATCCAGTACACTGCAGCAGTGCGGGCTAGTGTCTAACACCAGAACCAGGTCTGTGAGGGCACAGGGCTCCATGGCCTGGGTCAGCCACTGAGAAGGGAGAAGCAGGTCTGACCAGCACTTTAGGTACAAGTGATCTGGCAGAGATGAGTAGGACAAACGGAGGGCCTGGAGACCAAGCAGCAGGTGTGAAGTGGGGCAGGGCAGTGAGCAAGGAGGAAGGGAGCACCGTGCAGGAGAGGGAAGCAGAGGCAGGCTGATGGGGAGAGGGGGACGACAGAGACACTGTCCGGATCCGGCATGCAAGGGGAGGGGGCACAGAGTCATTGACAAACACCAGACATTTCAACAATGAAGTTGGCAGACCAGGGTGGAGGAGAATCAGCAAAGAATACTGGAAGGACTTGGTTCAACCAGAAGCACAGAATCAGATGAGATGGCTAGAGTGTGGCTCAGAGGTAGAACATGTGCTCAGCATGCTTGAGGCCCTGGGTTTCCTCCTAGCACCAAAAAAAGAAAGAAGTCTGCTGGGCGCTAGTGGCTCACGCCTGCAATCCTAGCTACTCAGGAGGCAGAGATCAGGAGGATCATGGTTCAAAGACAGACCGGGCAAATAGTTCACGAGACCCTATCTTGAAAAAACCCACCACAAAAAAGGGCTGGCAGAGTGGGTGAAGGCCCCGAGTTCAAACCCTGTAAAACACACACACACACACACACACCACACACACACACACACACACACACACACACACACACACACGTCAGATAAGTTCAAGGAGGGAGAAACACCTGGTCTCTGGAAGTGAGATATCTGAGAGGCTCTGGCCTGTCAGAGACAGAGAGAGAGACAGAGAGAGAGACAGAGAGAGAGAGAGAGAGAGAAGCTGTGTCGATGGTAGGAGTTACAGAGGGCGGAAGTCCAGCAGGCTGGGGTGGGGGGAAGGGCCGGGGCAGGCTTTCTGTCACCAAGGCGAGACATTTCCATTTGTTTCCTAGCTACAGATGTTCTAGAGGGTCCCACTCGGTGCACGGGACCTCTGGATGATGTACATTTGTCTGTCTACCCACCTGAACTTTAATTCTCTTCATACATTCTGGGGACTCCATTTCTTCATCAGTCATGGTACAGGGTTTAACCAAGTAGCACAACATAAGCTCCTGTTGAGAAGAGAAAAGCCATTTCCACATTCCACTAATTAAAAACACGGTATGGATGTGAGCAGGGACACACAGTTTCCACCCCTCTCCCTGTGCTGTCCTAGACACACCAGGTGGGTAAAACCACAGGGCCTGTGGCTGTCCTCCTGGGACTTGACAACCTGGTCTCAGGTCTTGACGAAGGCCCCGTTCAGTGATCACGGGGTGAGAGAATGCAGATACAGCGGACGCACTGACTATAAACACAGCATTTAAAATGTTAAACACAGGCTGCAAACCCATGAAACAGGTGCAAGGACGCTGGCACCATTTCAGACTCCCTAGTTTCTGGGAGCCACTTAGGCCTAGGCCACCTCCCTCACCCAAGGGCAGCTGTCTCAGGCCTGGTTGGGGCCTCAGCCTCTCCTCCCACCACTTCCAGCACAGAGGGACAAAGTGAGGATGTGCAATTTGATGTCAGTCGGCAGACACTGTGTAAGAGACAGCACACAAAGCTTGCGTTCTTTTTGAGGGAGGCGCTGGACTGAGCTCACAAATGCTAAGCAGGGGCTCCACACTGAGCCCCAGCCCCTCAGCCCCAAAGGTTGCATTCCTAATGGTCCTGGTGTGAGATGAATTTTCCTTCCCAGCTTTGAGGACAAGAGGCTCAAAGCCTCTTCTTTTCCAAAGGGAGCATCTAGTTGTCTGGCTTATTGGGCTGGGTGGCCATGGGTTTGAGGCCTAACCCTGTATGGAAGCCATGGTCTTGGATTAGTCACTCAGCATCTCAGGATGCTCAATTCCCCCTGCCTAGGACAGGGCTAACAACAGGGTGGTAGGAATACAGGAGCAAAGCGCTTGGCTGTATATATATTTTTAATTTTTATTGTTTTATTATTCATATGTGCATACAATGCTTGGGTCATTTCTCCCCACTGCCCCCACCCCCTCCCTTACCTCCCCCCCTCCCTCCCTCGATACCTGGCAGAAACTATTTTTGGCTGCTTCTCTCTTATGAGATCCTTCAATTTCGAAATGTGTCAATAATGTCTTGGTGAGAGAATCAGAATTGCAACAGGAAGCACCCCTCAGAGCAACACCACTCCTAGGCAGGAAGGCAGGTCCACCTAGGTCAGATGCCACAGAAACGTCTGTGCTCGGCCTCTGGGGCCAGGCCTCAGATGGTGGAGGTGGGACACCAATCATAACGGGAGAAGAGGATGGTCCAAGCTCAATAAGCCAGGAGCACAAAAGACCCCAAATCGTCCAGAACTTCACTGCAGGAACAGTAAGAAGTTTCTACAAATGACCTTTTTTATTCTGCTACAGTGTAAGAGAAAAAAAGGAATCAAACCGTTTAATGGCACTTGACTGCCAAAGCTGATGCTGTGTTTCCTTACCTTTGAGACATTCACTGAAACTCTGCTCAGGGCGGCCAGGGACTTCCAGCTGAAAGGTCTGCGGAGGGAGCCTTCAAAGTGCTCATCTACGAGCTCAATGATGACAGAATAGCTGGAAAAATACAGATGGGGGTTAAAAACAAAAAGTACAAAATCAACCTGCCAAAAGAGTACTGTTTGTCTTTCCAAGAATGAAGACTGAAAATATTTACATGTCTCACACTAAGTGCCTTGACTCAGTACACTGAAGAAAACCTCGTATGGCAAAGTACAAACTTTCAGGCCAATCTCTGTTCATAATCACAGGAAAGAAAGAACATTTTTTTTTACTCACCGGGTGTCAAGATGAACAATTACTACATGCATTAACTCAACATTTCAACACAGAAACAAACAATATCATTATGTACGCATTCTTTTTTTTTTTTTTTATAGTACTGGGGTTGAACTTAGGACCTCATACTTGCCAGGCAGGCATTTTTGACACTTGAGCCATGTCAGCCCTTTTTCTTTAGTCAGTTTTGGGACAGAGTCTTACATTTCCACCTGGGCTGGCCTGGACCACAATCCTATTTCCACAATCCTCCTATTTATGCTTCTTGAGTAGTTAGAATGACAAATATGGTACCACAGCCAGCTTTTATTGGTTGAGATGGAGGACTCACTAACTTTTTGCCTCCACTGGTCTTGAACTGCAGTCCTTGTAAGAAGCTGGGTTTACAGCTTGCTGGGCTCCCTATAAGTTATTCTATCAATACTGTAACAATATCAGTGTAGAGACATGGACTTTTTTTAAAAAATGGAACCCAGGGCCTCACACATGCTAGGCCAGTTCTCTACCACCAAGCTGCACCCCTGCCCCCCATCCTGGCTTGGACATTTAATATCAGTCTTTATCAGGGCCAGGAGGAACGTGACTTTTAATCATCTTTATGGCACTGAAAATTAAACTGGAGGCCAGAAATTTCCTTGTGTCCCTTAAGCCATTAATTTATTTAAAAATTGCTCCAAACCTTGCATGGTAAAATGGAGGGCCTTTCCGATACAGCACTGTAAAGAAGAAAAAGAAAATATAAAACCACTCAAAATGAAAAGCTTACTTTATTACTTAATATTCTTGTTTTCCAAAGGAAGCATCTAGTTGTCTGTGTGTAGACACTATGCAACGTGCTCCATAGACTATCTTTAAAATATAGATGACTTTTCTCCCCAAAACACAATGAGCAAAGCAACTCTGCTGCCAAGACTGACCTCCTCCCCACAAGTTACTTCCAAAGTCAAACACATGGTTTCCCCACCCCCCCAGCACTGGGGATTGAAGCCCGGCCTCACTCACTTGAGCCAAACCCAGCCTCAAGCGATTCTTGCCTTGTAGAGTGTGAAACTGCATCAAGAGTGTGAAGCCTGGGTCAACTTTTTGTTATTCATCTCCCACCACCTAAGTTTATACTGACCGAGTAGCCACTCTGGTCTATACTGATACTGCTGATGCCAGAGAGAAATAAACTGGAGCCTATTTTGAGAAATTTGGCTTCATGTTTAATTTTAGAAATTCAAAGTCAATGGCTTTTTAAAGAAAAAAGTGACACAAACATACACTCCACCTGGGCATCAGTCCGCCCTTCTCTTGGGGACCTGATGGAAGTGGGGGTTAAGAAGAGCCTCTCAAAGAAAGAGCATGAGCCCAGGGACTCTGGCACTCTGCCGGGGACCCTCTGGAGGTCCATGACCTGTGGCAGAGACTGGCTGGCTGCTCACCCAGTCCTTTTCTTCTTCCTCCTGGGCAGGTGGCCAGACCACAGCTCTTAGTCCCCAGGCAGTCGGGCACAGCTGTGTGCGGTGTGCACTTTCAAGACCGCCCATAAAGCCCTCCTGAGTAGAGCCTGTGCTTGGTCCTTTGTGAAGGTGACGTTGGAAGCTGTGTGTGGGAGGCTGTGAGCCACAAGACGAAGCCTGGAATCTGGAAGCACCTTTTGGAGTCCATCTTCCCACCAACTGGATTCTCCTTTTGGATTCCACAGGAACTAAAACTGAAGTCCATGGCCGAGCCCAGAGGCCTGGCATGTGTGAGTGACTTCAGCGCTGGGATTACGGTTACGCACGCACATGTGTATCTACAAGCTCCCAGCTGTCCCTGGTGCAGAACCAATGGAGTAAAGATCAGGGAAAAGCTTGCTTCCCTCAAGGAATGGACACAATTTTCCTTTTTGGACATTTCAGTCCTGTAGCTAACCATTTTTTTCTCTGGCTCATGGCTCCACAGACACCCCAGAAACCCATCACCTAGCCTTGTTTTGCTAGTCTGTACTTTCCTTGGTCATGCTGCCTTTTCACTATTGAAGTTACACTTAGAGTATTCCCAAGTCAGCTTGCATTCAAGTAAATACCTGAATATATTTAAGCAGTGCTTTTTGACATGACATAGCGGTTTCCACTTATTGGGACAGAGATGAACTTAGGAGTTTTGTTTCCTGCCCAATCTCTGCCACTCCAGGATGTGTGACTTTATGAAGCTATGAACTTCTCTGAACCTCAGTTTCCAAAATTCTAAGATGAAGACTTCGCTGTGCACAGTGGAGTACACTTGTAGTCTCAGTTACTTGGGAGGCTGAGGCAGGAGGATTCTTGAGCCCAGGAATTCAAGGCCAGCCTGGGCAGCACAGTGAGACATTTAAATGGCTTAAATAAAAATGAAGACATCAAGGGAAATGAAGATATTTTCTAGCCCTCGAATGCCATCATCACCTGTGACCAAATACACCTCTTTAACCTCATAAGCACATGGGGCGTCACAGGCAGCAGCTCATGCCCACAGGCAGGTCCTTTCGATGACCAACTGTGATGGGGTACAATTGGAAGTTAAAAGCATGAACATTGGAACCAGACAGACCCAAATTAAATCTTAGCAGTGCCAAGACCAGGTGGCACCTTCAACACATCAATGTCCTTGTGAAAATGGGGGCAGGGAAGCACAAGTACCAGCACAGTGTCTGATATATAGTAATGCCATGGTAAGTAACAGTTGTTATCATGACAGTATATTCAGAGGGAAGATAAAATTGTTTTGTCAAAAAGCCTCGCAAGTAAAAAGGTGAAAGATTCAGAAGTTTGGGAAATACCGTGCATCAAAAATAAGATCTGAAGGCTAGGGATGCAACTCAGAGGCAGAGCACCTACCTAGCAAACATGAGACCCTGAGTGCCATCAATCTCCAGTAAAAAAGTGGGGGCAGGGGGGAGAGGGACAAGGAGGAGGAACAAGAAAAGGAAGAAAAATTAGAATCATCCTAGCTATTTGGAAGGTTGAGATTAGGAGCTCACCGTTCAAGGCCAGCCAGGACAAAAGAAAGTTCATGAGACCCCCATCGCAACCAGCAGGTGAGTATGGTGGCAGGTACCCATCACCCCAGACTATGTAAGAGACTGAGATGGGGGGAATCATGGTTCCAAGTCAGCCCAGGCAAAAAGTTTGTGACATTCTATCTCAATGGAAAAGAGTTGGGTATGTCAGCCTGGCTATGGTGGGAAGCATAAAATAGGATGACAGTGGTCTAGGCCGGCCTGTCTTCAGAATAACCAGAGCAAAAAAAGGGCTGGAGGTGTGGATCAAGTGGTAAAGTGCCTGCCTTGCAAGCATAAGGTCCTGAGTTCAAGCAAAAAAAAAGAAAAGAGAAAGGTCTTGAGGCTGGGAATGGGTGAGGCCCTGGGTTTGGTCCCTAGCACCTAAATAAATAAATGAGTTAAAAATAAAAATGAGGTCTGGAAAAAATGGGACTGGGGATGTAGCTGAGTGGCAGAGCACTTACCTAGCATGTGGTATGAGGCTGAGTTCCATCCCTAGCACCCCCAAAAAAAGGAAAAATAAAAAAAGAATGGGTGGAATAAAAGGAAAGTGCTCTCTTACAGATGAATGCCTGGTAGAGAAGTAAAGGCAATGACAGAATGAGAAACTGATGCAATAATTAAGAAGGGAGCTATTAATGGTATCACTTTACATATTGTTAACTACAAAAGGAAAAATGTAACTTTACAATAGATACCTGATCGCTCTTCTTAGATAGGGCATGGGATTACTTTATGTAGGAGAAGGCTTCTATTCTTTGGTGCTGCATGCAGGAATACTTATGGATTAATATGGGTTCTGTATGTAAATGCAGACAGTGTTAGAAATAGTTTACAAATTTGACTAGAAAAACAAGCCAAAGGGTGGCTTAGGACAGAACCAAAGAGGACAACAGACATGTCTTCTGTGATGAGCAGAGCTTCTCTGCTGACCCTGTCTTGGGGACAGAAGCAAGTGTCAGTCTCTGGGCATCACAGGCAATGACTCCTTTTGGTTCTGGAATTCTGTAACTCTGCTGGCTTTCAATGGCTCCCATCAATCCACTTCTGTTCTGAGACTTCTCATCTGTAGGGAGCTGAGAAATCACTCGACAAAACTCACTTTGCTTAGTCAATGCAAACGCATTGGGGTGGGTGGGAAGGAGGCTTCGGAGTGATCAGAGCTTTGGGTTAAACCATACTCAATCAACTCAGCACTGCATGCAAGTGTAAGACAACAGGAACCCAAGTTGGTTTTTGGCTGCCTGGCTGGAAACAGGTTCGGTGTAGAGAGAGGATGAAGCATGAATGCAGATAGCCCTGATCTCTGTACTTACTAGCTGTGGGGCGTCAGATGACTTACTGAATCCTTCTGGACCTAAAATTGCTCAGCTATAAAAGTAAGCTGAGGGACAGCCATGGTGGTGTGTACCTATAATCCCAGCTACGTGGGAGGAGGAAGTAGAGGGATTGCAGTCCAAGGGGAGTCCTTGGACACAAAGCACAAGATCCTACATGAAAAATAAACTAAAGCAAAAAAGAGCTGAGGGTATGGTTCAAGTGGTAGTGTGCCTGCCCAGCAAGTGCAAGACCCTGAGTTCAAACCCCAGAACAGGCGGGGGGCGGTGTGGTGGTGGTGGTGGTGGGGAAACAAAGGAAGCTAATAGCACAAACCTCCTGGGAGTGTGTAGATTAAGAGGCAACCCTGGGGTGGGGGCTTCCAATGTGGAATGTAAGTGGTCTGTCTTCCCTGGTAGGTGATGGCCTCAGGACTTATCTGAGCACTGCTACCCATAAGATCTTTATTCGGGGAGAAGTGTCCCTGATACGAGTGGCTTTCATAATGGCCTTTATCATGGGCCATTAATTCACTAAGGAAAAACAACTGGGTTTCACCTGTGTGGGCAGCTCTAGAGAACATGTGACTATGTCACTGGCCTTCAAAATTAAACTAGCATTGCTAAAAAGCAGCAGACACCACGCAGCTGCACCTGGAGGAGGTAGGTGAACACTGCCGAGACCCTGTGCTCCAGCAGGGAACCTCAAGTCACCCTCCCTGTTGCTGGAGAGCCAGCCTGACGCCAGGAGCGAGATGGATCCTGTCCCCATGGTATCATACAAGTGACCAGGAGCAGATGCTCTGTACGTCCTCACTGGGGCAAAGGCCCCCAGACAGCCTGGAAATAATTTAGTATTTCATTTACTTTTATCCTTTTAAAAATATCCACCCATCAGCCCACTGCGTCCTTCCCAGCATCCTTAGGAGGCAGTGTTCATGTATTAATTTATACGGTGATGGAGGCAAAACCCAGGGCCTTGTGTGCATTACACACAGCGCTCCACCACTGAGCTGCACCCTCAGCCCAAGGCAGGTTCTTTTCTAGGAATGCTCTCTCTAGGCATCACCCACAAATACGGCCTGACTGCTGGAAAGAAAAAGTTGCAGGGGAAGGGGACTTTGTTAAGTGCTTTGTAAGCACACAGCACCTCCTCTCATTCGGGTAAGTAGTTACAAAGATGTTGTTATCCACATTACACAACAAGAGATTACAGAACTTGTCCGAGGTCACACAGGCCATGAACCCAAGAGTTTGCTCTTCACTGCCTATTAACATATCCTTGTAGTCTTGCCAACCGGAAAATTTTACTCAAATTTCACCCATTATAATGGGAACTTTGGAGGAGACCTGGCAAGCATTTACAGTGAATGGCTTTGCTTACCGGAGTGTGAAAAGGAGAAGGGACAAGAAACCTGGAATAGGTCTGTGACTCACTTAAATATGACCTGTGGCTGACACAGTTATCTTGGAAGTGGGCACTCATCTCAAGCCAATCTTGAGCATCTGTGTTGACATCTGTGCCTAAAATCCAGGCACAGAAGAAACAAAAGAAGCTACTCTTCCTAGAGGGGTGGGTAGGCCTTGCCCTGACAATCTGATGAAAGATAAGATTCTTGACTCAGATAAATGCACCACTTCATAAGCACACTATCTAGAAAAGTATTTCAGGGCTGTTGGGACCTCCTGAAGACTGTTCTATGAATCCAGGTTAAGCACATTCTATTTTAGATAAGGAATCAAACAGCGAGCTGTGTTTCTTTGTGTATTTAAAAAGGCTCAAAATACACAGAACAGGGGCTTAACAGAACCCCACGACCTCAAAGAACCACAGCTTCATAGAAGGTCTCTCAAATACCTTGACATTTTTATCCGAACTTGAAACAATGCTGAAAATTCCCAGGAAGCACTTTCACTTGGCAAATCTGGAAAAATGGGTTTTGGGGATATGCCAAGGAACCACCCCAGTGCTGGAAAGACGGGTGCTCACTAATGCAGGTTGGGGTTGCAAGTGCCCCCCACGTCCAAGAGCTCCCAAGGGCCAATCTCCAGGCTCTCCTGCTCCCAGAACTGCTTGAGTGCCTGACACACGCTCAGGGTAGGTTGGTCATCCTGAGTCAAATATGTGAAATGCTCCAGAATCCAATTTAGTTTTACTTTTGTGTGGTAGGCAAGTGCTCTACCACCAAGCCAGTCCCCAGCCCAACAAACCCCAAAGCTTTCTGAGGGATGACATGATGCCACAGAAAATTCCACACCAGGAAGCTTTGCTTCATGCATAAAATTATGCAAGCATTTCATGTAAGGGATGCTCAACCTGTACCTCCACTGGACTTATTTAACATGTCCAAAACCTGAGGCCAGTCCCTAGGAATTACCTCTGACTCCTCTATCTGTAAATGCCATGGACATTCTGCCAGTGGTTCTGGTTAGACCCAGCTCCCCTAACGGTCACTCTGCTTCCATTTGGTCCCCCTTAGTCATTAAGATAGCAGACAGAGGATCCAATTAAATTAGGTCATTAAATTCAAGTCTCTCTGCTCAAAATCTCAAGACTTCTGATTCCAAAGCATCCAGCGTCTGCCCAGCCTGACTGTCAGATGTCCCCTCTACTGTTCTCTCCATGGGATCTCGATGTTCTCCATAAACTTGTCCTTGCGATGCTCCTGAAACCTGCATGTTCCTGCCTCAGGGCCTTTGTGCTTGCTGTTCACTTTGCCTGGCGTGTTCTCCTCACTCCCCTGTGAAGTGTTCCCTCACTGTGTTCACACCTTTCCCCTAAGGAATGGCCTTCCCCCATCCCTTTGCTCTGCTCTATCCTTTCTATGGGGCTCAGCCCTGAAATTCGTCTCTATTTGCTGCTCATCTCCTCCTTGCTCCAGTAAGTGCTGGTGGGCAACTTTGTGTCTGCCTGCTTTACCTCTGTGTTCCTGACCCCCAGAGCTGTACGTAGCCCATGTGCAGACCCTCATATTACGCTGAGTGCAGAGCTTACCTGATCCAGTCTCTCAGTCTAAGATCAAGGGATACGGTATTTTTAGGAAGTTCCTAACAGGCTGCACTCTAGAATTCAAAGCCCAGCTCTGCAAGTTAGTGGCTCTAGAAACTATTTTGGGCAAATGACCCATTGTCTCAAAACTGCAGTCTGTCTCTCAGACAAACAAGGAGAAGAGGATCAATGGCATACAGTGCAACACAGGACTGCTCTAAGATTAAGACAAGGGATGTAAAACAGCACGATGGCTGACACACAAAAGGTGTGATGACTGGAGCGTGTGGCAACTGAGGTCCACGGGATTGGGGCTGACCTCTCACGTGAGCTCATGGCTAATGTGAGGTGGTGGGTGCTGTGAACTCTTTTCTAAGACTGGGGAGCTTTCCCCCAGACTACATCTTCTCTTTCTAGACTAACTGCACCGTAGCCAAACACCTGGCATTCTCACCTCAGGAGGAATCAGCAACAGTACCTGTAATCTGGATGTTTGGGTGAATCCGAGGCAAGCTCTGGTTTTGCCCCTGCTGTGCCAGGCACTACTTACACAGATCTGTCCCATACTTGAGTCCCACTTTGGGCACCCAGCCCTTGCTTCGGAAGTAGTGGTAGGCCATGTAGGTAATCCTGAAGGTGGGCTGAATCGAGGTGAAGGCTTGCCAGAGTTTCACTATTGTGAAAGGCTCCTAAAGTTAATTTAAAAAAGGCATTATTAGGCATGTGCTCACCACTCAGCCAGGGAACCAACATCTACACTAGCATGGAGGTGGAGCAGAGCCCAAAACAAGCAGGGCACCCCTCCCAGAGGGGTCCAGCCCAAAGACCTCCCACGTGAAGCTGTCAGCTACACATGGTTCATCTCAGCAGAGGTGCTCCAAGTGTAAAGTTTATACCGAGTTCCAACACCTGTAAACACGATGCAAACTATCACAATAATGTTGGGTATGTTAAAATAAACAAAATATATAATATAGTATTAAAATTACTTAATGTGCTGTGTATAAGAAAACTCTAAAATGATCCATGTGGTTCCCACCTGTAGCTCTCGTTCTATTTCTGTTGGACCGAGGAGCTTTAAGGGTCTCAGCCAAGGTGATGTGTGGCCCTGGGTGTGGCTCAGTGTTAGAGGCCATGCTCAGTGTGAGCAAGGAAGGAGGGAGGGAGGAAGAGCTGTGAGTGTAGCCAAGGGTGAGTGATGGAGGCCATGGGAAGAGGCTGGGGATGGGCATTCTAGGCAGAGGAATGAGTGCATGCTGGTGAGTTGAGGTGTACCAAGGCCACCAAAACTGGGGACACCATGCTCCAACATTCCACAAGACCCTTCAAAGAGTAGCTGCTGTATGCCAGGCATGTCCAGAAAAGTCAACAATAATTTTCTAAGTAAAATTCTCATGAAAAAAAAAAAAAAAAAAGCTCCAGTTTAGTCTTTGAAATTAGAGACTGTTACTTGATGGCGCAACCTGCTAATCTACCGGTTCAAAAGAGAATTTTGTTTTGAATACAGGAGTTGAACAGAAGGAGACTAGTTTTCTGAGACATTGACACAAATAAAACAGTAACAGAGTAACTGGGTAAGTTGGGAAAGTTTCTCTCTTCAGTCAGTGCCTAGTAAAGGAATGAATCCTTCAGTTGGTTTGGGGCACAATCAGTGAGATTTGTTGTTTGGCTCAAGCTAGCCTGTTAATACAGAAGTGAGGCTGGGCTGCAGCTCAGTGGTAGGAGTGTGTGCTTAGGGTATACAAGGGCCTGGGCTCCACTCCAAGAACAAATCACTGCAAAAGACCGAGAGTTAGTTCTTGGTTTTCTTTTTTGTTCCTAATATGGAAACTCCACACATACGTGGCTTCAATCCTGCATGTCAACTCTGAACCCTTCCTTTACTAGCAACAGTCTCCTAGAGAGGGCTAAGTTCTCAGCATGGGTGGACTGACATTTCCAGGTGCTGAGGATTGTGGGTAGCAGCCACAGAATTCTGACAGATTCCAGCTAAGGCCCTTTGGAGGAGGGACTGAGAACAGCGACAGCCAAATGCTCGCTTCCAAACTGTTGGATACACGTGCAGAAGTTACCCAGCGCCTACCATGCAACTAGGGTGGGATGAGTGACGACAAGATCACGCGCTCCTAAGAACCAAACAACACATGTCTTCTCTCATCTATTACTCTTCTGCTTACCCTTCTCTTTTCAATTTTATGTGAATTATTTTGAATAGGTGTTACATTCACATGGTTCAAAATTCAAAAAGTACAAAACCATCCAGTGAAAAGTCTCTCCCGCTATTGTGTCCCCAATCTCCTGGTCCCTCTGCCTGGTGGCCAGCAAAGATACCATCATTCTTTGTGTGACTATCTTCTGAAGGCAGCATTTATGGCACAAAATCACAATACCATGGACTTTACAGTTGTCTGGACATAGTTTCACACACTGGTTCTAACTGGACTGGCCAGGTGACCTTGACTGAGTTCCTTGTTTTCTGTGAGCCTCAGTGACCTTGTCTGTAACATTCTGAGCTGGGTAAGGATAAGACACAGTGCATGTGAAGGGCTGACACACAGCCTGTACCACAGATATTAAAAATTGGGAACATCTTTATTTCTACTTCTCAGTGCTGGGGTCAAAGCCAGCATCTCACATGTGCTACCCATCTGCTCTACCCGAGTTACACCCCGCCCTTAGCTTTTATTTTTGCTGTTAATTTTTAGTACTACACTGACACAGATTTCCTGATCATTATATAAGAAACTGTCCTAGTCTCAGAATGAAATTCAATCTGAAAGAGTCAAAGCTGGCTTTAGCCTTAACTGTCCCAATTCAGAATCCAAAGCCAAAACTTAGAGATAAAAAAAGATTCAATTCCTACTTTGCTCAGTAAAAGCAAATACATTTGTATTAAAGAAGTACAAATGTGGGGGCTGGGGATGTAGTACAGGGGTACACATGCACGGCGTCCTGGGTTCCATCCTTGCACCCTGACCACAAAATATTAAAAACAAAAAGACTTAAGGGTGGCTTGAGTAGTAGAGTGCTTGCTCTGTAAGCATGAAGTCCTGAGTTCACACCCCAGTCCCACCAAAAAAAAAAAAAAAAAAAAAAAGAAAAGAAAAGAAAGCAATATGGTAATTAGTGTAACCATCAGGGAAACTTTAAGTGGATCATGTCACACAAAACATCTTACCTTTTCATAGTAAATACTCAGACATCCCAGAGCATACACCAGGAAGAAGGCCTATAAGCAGAGTAAGGAGAAAACATCCATTAGAGACACCGTCACAATCTTAGGTGGGGTGCAGCCCAGTGGTACAGCACTTGCCTAGCATGTGCAAGGCCCTGGATTCCACCAACCCCAACAGTGCCACATTCAGACTGAGTTCTGAGTTCTTTTCACCTCAAATATAAATTGATATCTTAGCTGGGCATAGTGGTGCACACCTACATCCTAGCATTTGAGAGGCAGAGGCAGGAAGATCATGAATTCAAGGTCAGATGCCTTCTGACATCCCACTGTTCACTAACACTAATGGTGCTTTTCAGATGAACCAGAGAGGGGCCAAAGGTGCTATGGAAAGGACAGCTGTCCCAAGTGGCTCTTCCCTTCCATTCTGTCAAATTTGCATTTTTTTTGGTTCAAATGGTGTACATGAAAAATGAATTTCCCTCAGTGGTTCAGAGTGAAGATAAAATGAAATCTGACAAACCTGGGTTCAAATCTTAACTGAGTTGGCCTTATTTAGAATTAAATCCTAGATCAGAAGGCCCATGGGGGTTGGGAACCGTGTCCCCTGAGATCTCATCAGCAAGTCTTCACTTTTACAGTACAAAGATGGAGAGGTGAGTTTCATGATGTTTTACCATCATGACGCTAGGTTGAGTTAGTGCTCACAATTACTGTAATGAAAAAACAGATTTTGAGGACAGATCTCTCAGACATGATGGAGCAAGTCCACTCTCTGGCCCGGCACTCAGATCACCACCCAAATGAGGACTTGTTGGAGAGAGTGGAGTCACCACCACAAGTGGGCAGAAAGACCTAGTCACTGGGTAATACTTGTTTTTGAGATGGGGCTCAGGCTATATAGCCAGCTTGGCCTCGAACTTGTGATCTTCCTGCCTCGGTCTCCCAAGTGCTAGGGTTAAGGGTATAGGCCATCGTGCCCAGCAATACTTTTCATTTTATGACTCTCATCACAATAGAGTCAGAATGCACCTGTGCTACAGGGCGGGAATGGAGGAGGGGAATGCTTGGGCACCTACTGTAGGTGCTGGGAACTGTGCTGGACAACGAGTACACATTGTTGTTTGTGCTAAATTAACTGTGCGTCCAGTACTGAACTGTAAACTCAAGAGAACTGTTACATTTTCTTAAGCAGAATGAAGCATGATCTTCAAAAAGTGGTGTTTTGGTGGATGTTAGTTCAACCTCAGCACAAGATCACATCTTTCTTCACCCTGCCCACAAACCAAATTCCACTGAAGTCACTTCGAGTTTAGAGATAATTCTTTTTAAAGTGAAAGCTCCTGGCATTTTGCTTCAGAACAGTGGACAGAATCTCAAACTGAGCTAGGACCATGTATTTCCATCCAGCGAAATCAGCTAACTTGGATGGATGGGACCCTATGAGGGATCTATCTATCTCTATAAAGTATCAAGTGCTTTCCAGGTACCTCACTTAATCCCCACTACAGCCCTCCAAGAGGTGCCTTACAGAATATACCACCACGAGCATCGGCCCTTGTGTGCCACTGTGTATAGTGCAAATCTTCTTGCCACTTCCTCTTTTGCCTGTAATTTTGCTTGTGTTCAAGATGGAGGGGTGTTTGTTCTCTGCAGTGCTGGGATGGAACCTGGGGCTTCGTGCATGCTAGGCAGGCGCTCTACCACTGAGCTACACCCCTGTTCACACCATCTTATTTACCACTGTGTGTTTATCATTGGAAATTCGCAGCTGATGCTTCAGAATGTAGGTTCTGGAGTCAGACTCCCCAGGGTCAAGTTTTTGATTTAATTTCCCCAAGCTTCAGTTTCTTCACTTGTCAAACAAGGTAACAACAGGATCTCGGGGTCCTCACGGGGTGAGGTGAGGGCTTAAGGTGTCATCAATACAGTCCCTCCCACACGAATATGCCTGAGTAGCACCAGTGCACACTGTTCCTTTGTTCTCACTGAGTGTCAGGTCCTCTCGGCCTGGAGCTGAGCCCACGCAATCAGGGGAAAGCGATTTTACTGCCGAGTTTCCCCAGCCACAAAATGCAGACAACTGCAGCCGCGATCTGAAAAGTGTCCTGACGAGATGATGCAGGAGAAGCATGCAGTCCAGGACTGCACAGCTGGGGCATGGTGCCTGCTGGCTGTGATGGTGATGCTGTCGCTACCACAAAGCTGTCACAGAGGCACACAACTGTGCACTTTCCTTCCTGCGCCACTGCACTGAAAATCCCTCAAGAACAGGGACGAGGCCTTTTTCCTGTTTGCATCTCAGCACCTTCTCCAAGCCTGACACACAGTGGCCCTCAGGAAATGCTGGCTGAACAAAGGATCACAGTCGAGGGGACACACACCCTGCATATGTCATCCTACAAGGCATCTCCTCCAAAGAGGGTGACATGGGAGGTTCTCATCCCCCAAGGACAATTGCTAGTGGGAGAAGCCCAATCAGAGCGAATCTTCTTCAAACAGGGAGCAGAATTAGTAACTATGACAATTACGGCACTGAAGTTGGAAAGTTAACCTAAAAATATGAGAATGAATCCATGACCTGTCGTGTTTTTTGGTTAAGCAAATCTTGAGCCTCAGTTTCCTCTTTTTTGGTGCACAGCTGGGCTCTCCCAGGGATGGAACCCCAGGTCCATGTTCCTGACCTATACCCCAACCCCAACATGGAGCTTTAAGTCTTTAAGTAATGAAATTTATGTAGTACAGTTTCTTAGAAGACTTTGTTCATATCTCAAAAGAACATAAATATTTATCCTGGTTTTGTTTTATGTTTAAATTTTTTCCTCTAAGTCTTTGGTTAGTCAGACTTTGCAATGCTGCGACACAATGCCTGACATGCACTCAAGAGGAGGACAGTTATTTCAGCTCAGAGGCTGAAATATTTCAGTCCACTATGGCTGACTCTGCTGTTCCTGGGCCCACGGTGAAGAAGAGCGTCGAGGTGGCAGGGGCTCCTCACCTCCGAGCAGACAGGAAGCAGAGAGCGGGCGGTAGTAGGAGCCACCCAAGAAATCCCACACAGGACTCCTGGACGAGAGGGTCCCCAGGAAGGGCGCTACCTTCAAAGGCAGGAAGACATGAGCAAGCGATGAAGGACTGAACGTAGTGCGACTGTGGGCTGGAGGAGCTCCAAATCAGAGGGACAATATGATGCAGTTATAGAGGGACACTTTTATCCAATCTAATTCAGCTAATGCATGAACCAAAATAATCTGATTCTGCAGAAGGAAAATACCTAGATCCAGAACTCAATTAGCAGTCACTCTGTGAGCTGAGTCACACATTATAGCTTACTTAAAGCTGGTGACACTCCATGAATACACTAAAATACAGTGTCAACAGAGAGCTTTGAATTTTCAAAAAAATTTTAATTTAAATTTTTTGAGACAGGCTCTTGCTATGTTGACCAGGCTAGCCTCAAACTCCTGGGCTCAAGCAGTCCTCCTGCCTGAGTCTCCTGACTAGCTGGGACTACAGGCATGTGTTACCAGACCCAGAGAGTTCTACACTTTACTTTTTTGCAGTGATGGGGATTGAACTGAGGGTATTAGGCATACTAGGCAAGCATTCTACCACTGAGCTACATCCCCAGCCCAGGTTGTACATTTTAAATGGATGAATTGCATGGTATGTTATTACATCTCAATAAAGCTATATTTTAAAAAACTGATGAAAACTAGTGACACAATATTCAGCCAGTCTGAATCTTGATGAGAGAAGAAATGCTGCAGCTGGCATGGTGGCACATGCCAGCACTTGGGAGATTGAGGCAGGAGGATTGTGAGTTTGGGACCAGACTGGGCTACATGGTGAGGCCCTGCCTTTCTGCGTTCCTTCCTCCCCGTCTATCCACTCATCAAAAAAAAAAAAAGATACTCAAATGAGCCCTTAAATCCTTCATGGAATGCACAGGAATTTTCCTTAAGACTTCTTTTGCCATGCCGGGGTTTAACTGCTTCTCACATGAGAAGCAAGTGCTCGACTACGAGCACATGACACTCTCGGTTCCAACACATCTTACAGCAGAGGAAAAAACGGCTGAGGGGTGACATTTAGGCAGGCCTGCTTTGGACGCTGCCTACAGGATTTCAAAATTCCACGGTGCGCTCTGTATAGAACTGCACTGTGAGGTAGGCTCAGGTCTAAGAACGCAGGGTTGAACCTATCAAGAGCTGAAATAACACGATGAAAACATACCTCTTCTAGGCTGAGCTGCAAATACTCAAAGATCCTGTACGGATTTCTTCGGCATATTAATCTCTTTCTTTGCGCCAACTAAGGAGAAATCAACAAATCAAACACAGAACCCACAAAAGTACCACATGTCAGAGCAAAGAGACTGCATTTTGAAACGAGCACTTCCTGATAAACTCCCAGGACTGACGTGCTGTGGGTAAACACTATTGAAAAAGATAGAGTTTTAAGAACATGCAAGGGAAGCTTTCACTTTTCTACTACTAACATTTTGACTTATTTCTCTTTTCCATGTGAGTGCTTCCTGCAGCTGTGATTGCTTGGTTGAATTTGTTCTTTTTTCCACTCATACATGTATTTGTTCTTGACTTCACAAATCTCGATCTATGCTAGCTATAGTCAACATCACATGTGATTCTATTGCACGGGAGAGGAAAGTTTTGGTCTTGCTTCAATTTATACGCTTGTAAAAAGCTAATGTTATCAACTTTGGTGGAAACGGCCCTCTTGGCTGCTTGTGACTGGGGCTGGGCCTCAGAGCCCGCTGGCTCCCTTGGACGTGTCATACATGCCAGGGCTGACACAGGCCTGCAACCAGGCTAGCCAGCATCTCCTGTGGGCAGATGGCTTTGGGGGAAGTAACTTATAGCAGGGATGTGCTCCAACAGTCCCAGAGGATGCTGAAACCTGGCAGCGGGCTTATGTGTGCTATGCTTTTCCTATCCATGCATACCTATGATGGGGTTTAACTTATAAATCAGGCACAGCAGGAGATCAGCAACTAGCAATAAAACAGAACAAGTGTAACAAAATACTGTAATAACAATGGTGTGGTTGTGGTGTTGCTCTCTCTCTCTCTCTCAAAAGAATCAAAACAAGCACTGTTTTTTTCATACTGTGATTGACGCGGTAAGTGAAGCAGTGACAAGCGAAACTTCGGGTAAGGGGGACCATGGTACTTTCTTCTACTTACTTGCTCACCTAGAGTGTCCTCCCCTTCTTGCACATCGCACACCTCTTCCTCCACGAGCACATACTGGTAGTCAGGCTTTCTCTCCCCTGCACAGACGAGGTCTGCTGGCTGGCTGGCTTCCTCTGGCTGAAGGCCACCCTGGTGGATGAGGGCATCTTGTTTGCAGCAGTGGACTTGGGGAACAGCTACCTGTCCGTGGAGGCCGTCTGAGGTGAGCAGGCTGCACCCAGGGCCCTCCTGCAAGCAGTCAGGGTGTGGGCTGGGATCCCCTGGCTCCTCTGACTGCCTGGAGCCTCCGTTCATCACAGAAAGTCCCTTTGTTCCTGCTGTGTCTTCCACGGGGGCAGTTATCTGAGACTTAAGTATGCCATGGTGTTCAGCTGCTTCGCTCCTTTCTCTACAAGGATATTCGAGTGGTCTTGTGTAATCCTTAAGGATCTGGTGTGCTGTACTCTCATCCTGCCCCTGTCTGCGCAGGAGATCTGCAGCCCATTGCACACGACGCTGATACCTGCAAACAGAAATACTGCTTAGTATTTCTTGAATTCCAGCTGCAGACAAACTATACAAAAAAGGCTGCACAGTGTCTGCAGTTTTCCTGAGCAGTGTGTTATAGGTGAGGGTCTTCCTTACATATTTTTATGTAACACTACAGAAAATATTACGTATTTTTCTGTAACAAGCATTTACTACTTTTTTGTTTTTAATAGAGCCTTGTTTTATTTGCTTCATTTGAAAAAAAAATCAACCTGCCATTTAACAAAGTATGAAAACTTACATAATCTTAAGTCAAGAGATACAGGTAAATACCCAGAGAAAATGGCCATCTTTTATCAGGATTCATTTTCTATTATTTTTAATTTGGGGGATTACAGCATTTCCTGATAGATACTCTATTCATAATACAAAGACCTTCTGTTTAGTATTGGAAAACAAAACAAGAATTTCAATAAATACTTTCAGAGTATCCTCTTCACAGGATATGAAAGAAATGATTTGATTTTACACATATGTCCGAATAGTCTAAAATAAATGGTCCTTTTCCCATCTTAATTTTCAGAGTATATTTTAATGAGAAAATAGACCTGAGTACTTCCCAAGTTACAAAAACTACAGACAAAACGACAGGGCTGTGCCATGGAGAAGAAGCATCCACGCTGGGATGTGTCCCAGTGACATAGGAGTCACTGTTCACTGGAAATCTAGAGCAGCTGAAGACGAGCCAAACATCGAGCATCACCAATGTTTGTCTCTACCCCCAGCATGTGGTCTGAAAAGCATCCAAGATGTCACAAGTTCGGGGAGGACAGATATAATTTCACTCTTCATCTTACCTTGACTGTGCACAGATGGCTGAATGTCATGGTTTATAAATGCTACATCTCACACAATTGAACAGGGAAACTGGTTTTTGTTGTACTTGAAGAGACTGGTGGGTTCTTAATCCTGATTCACTAGAATCCCTGAGAGGTTCACACCCTGTTTATCCTACACTCGGAGAAGCATGCATCTCTACATATTGGGAACTGAATCTTAAGATTTGAATACTGAAATCCGGCAAGGCCACTCCAACACCTAAGATGCAGTGACTCTGGTGCTGGGTATGTTTGTGTTCAGATCTGAGTTGGTCACTTACAACTGTGCAGCGAAGCGAGTTACCTCTCCTCCTCTTTCAGTTTCCCCACCCACCAAATGGGGGACCCTAGCACTATGTATGTATAACCTGTCTCAATTGGCGTCTTCTCACCTGTGCCATAGAACTTTGACAGATCCACAAAGAATCCACAGCATTGGTTCTCAAGGTTTCATGGGGCTATGAACCTGTCATTTGAACACAAATTTTGTGTTCAGGTGCATTTTTGAGGGGAAGGGATCAACAACTTTCATCAATTCCTTGACTCAGAAAATGTGGCAGAATTAAGGGTCACAGTCCCTCCCTGAGCAGATGATGATCTGAGCGAGCACACACAGGGCAGGCTGGTCCTGGGCAGTGGGATGTGCAGGCAGACGTGGGTTCAAATCCTTGCTCCACAGTACTGTTGCAGTTGACTCACATAACTCACTCCCCCTCTACAGCTCAGGGCTTAATCTACAGATCAGGGATACCCATACCCACCTCATGGAGCTGCAGCAAGGTTTAACTGAGACAAGACCTGTGAGTGTGCAGCACATAAGAACTGCTTGATAAATACTGTATTTGCTACTTTATCATTGAGGAGCTTAAGGGCAACTTGAAACACACATCAGTGTGACGCATTCCATTAGAAACTGCACAACCCATTTTTCATGACTGGAGGTGCATGTCTCAAGGCCCTCAGAGAACAGGGCCAGGTTGCAGGGATGAGGGCAGCAGGTCTGGACCCGGCTGTTCCACATGAGTCTGAACTAAGTCACTTAGCACTTCTGCCTCTCTGCTCTTCTGTCACATGCCAGAGCTGCTGCATGCCTGCCTTGCCAAGTCTCAGAGGAGTGGCAGGAAAGCTCCAATAAGAGTGGCCACAGGAGCACATAGAAGAAAGCATGAGCAAGAGTGGTGGTGGAAGAGCTGGGCATGAGTAAGACATGTGGTCAGGTGGCTCATGGAGTGCATGTGTCCTGAAACTGGAAACAGTAATGGCCCTGGTGAAGGCAGACACACTCAGGGCTGCAAGAACCCTACAGCCCCTCAGGTCCCCAGGCTCCTGAACGCACCTCTCCCACTGCCCCAGGCAACCCTGCCACCCTTCTCCAGCACCTGACCAATGAGTAGTGCGCACTTATCATTGGAAACTCACTTACAGCAGATGCTTTAGAGCACAGGTTCTGAAGCCAGGTCCACTGGCCCAGAGCAAAAACTTAACTTCCCCACGGTTCAGTCTCTTCCCCTGCCAAAAACAGACAGCAGGGTGCAGGAGTCCTCCTGGGGTGAAGTGAGGACTCAAGGTGTCATCAGCACGGTTTCCCGCACACGAACACACTCAAGCAACAACAGCACACACAACCATTCCATCATTCTCGCTACGTGTCAGTTCCTCTCCGGCTTGGAGCCGAGCCCACAAATCATGAGAAAGCTACTTCTCCACTGTGCTTTTCAGTTGAAGAGAGGTCATACTGACTGGTGTCCGTAAACAGAACAGGGCAAAGTGGACACAGACACAGAAACACACAAAGGAGAACACCCTGTGAAGCTAGAGGCGGAGGCTGCAGAGACGTATCCTCAGGTCAAGGAACACTGAGGATCACGGCCACGATCCAGCTTGACCTGAGCTGAGCCAGGTAGGAAGGAACCTCCCCTAGAGCTTCCTGAGTGAGCAAGACCCCACCAGCACCTTCGTTTTGGACCCTGGCCTTCAGAACTGCGAGAAAACCCACTTGTGTTGTAAGTCACCAAGTTTTCAGTACTTTGCTCCAGCAGCCCGAGGAAACTAATACAAGGATGAAAATGCTTCTTTGATGTCACACTGCAGTGCTTACAAAAGAACACTCTTCAGGGAGGAGACCCTCTCCCCACCCTGGTCCTTTCACATCCTAAAACTGGCTTGACCTTTTCTTATCTTCTTGGCCAGCCTGGTCTGATGAGGCGGCGGCCCTGATGTGCAGGCCTCTGTCCTGTTTCTGAATCCTAGGTTTCGGCTGTATCAACAGTCTACACCACAGGCCTGGGGGGATGGGTGCTCTGCTGGGTTCTTCATAGGCCACTCCTGCAAACTGGAGTCCCACTCCTGATCCCAGGCTACAGCAGCCTCTGTGCTACTGTGCTGGCAACAGGATACAGGCTGCCAGGTTCTGCTCGTACGTGCTAGACGGAAGGTGAAAACATCCGTGCGCTTGAGGGGTGTTACAGGGATTTATGGAAGAGCTGCAATTCCAGGTGCACCTGAGAGGCCTGAGGGTTGGGATGTGTGTACACTGACTCCACAAAGTCCTACCAGGTGACACTAAGTGTGGGGGCTGCAGAGAGGAGCAATGCCTGGTTGCTGCTCTCCCAGAGCTGATGCTGAACCCAAGTGTGTGAGGGACGACACAGAGCGCAAGGTCAGAGCAGTAGCCAGGCAGCGGAGAGGACAGTGGCATAGGAAGGAACACCAGGAGAGGTGACATGTGAGCAGAACCATGGACGTTCTGGAACCATCTAGACGGGGGAAGTGGTCCCAGGGTGCTGAGCAGGGGACAGGGGCCCCGTGAAACCCTTCTCTAACCCTACAGTGTAAAGCGGGGGAGGAAGACAGAGCAGCCACGCCCATGCAGGGTGGAGGCCGGCTTGGGGCCTCAGTCCACATGTCTCAGGGCTTCACAACATACCCATCACATTGTGGAAGGAATTCAACTGGAAAGCATTCAGTTTAGGATTAAACAAAACCTCACTTAATGAATTTCAAACATGATTTGATTCACATTAAATCAGACTTAATTTTTAAGGATCTCTCTTCTACCAAAAAAAAATGAATAGTAATGATGTAAGTCTGCCACATCAGAAAAGACTGTAGAAACAGATCTGAGTTATGACATAATTGCAACCCAAGCCAAATGTCACCATCACTTACCTCTTTGATGTGATTATAGGCATGTTTGTCTTCATATCTGCAACAGCAAAGAAGTTCTATTAGTTTCAGACAAATTGGCCTTCAGGAAAAAAACCCACTAAAATCAAGAAATGTGTGTGTGTGGGGGGGGTATGGCCCAAATAAGGCATATACATGTAAGTAAATGTAAAAATGATAAAATAAAAATTTTTTTAATTTCTAGACATGCATAAATTACTGGAAAATAAATTCAAATATACTAAAAAAAATCTAGAAAGGTAATTTCAAGATTCCCAAAGCCACATACACGTCCAATGCTTTGTATGCCATGCTTCTGTGCACCCCAGCCCAACGATGCCTCTCCTGTCAGGCTCCTGTGAGACCCCAGATCCTCAACTCAGTGCTCTGGCTCAGCAGTGCCGGTGCAAGAGGCTCTCCAGATGAGAGCGCCACGGAGTGTGCCTCCATTCTCCCTCCGCACTAAAGGACCCTCCTGTGCCTGGGGAAGGGACATGCATGCGATGGCACGTGTACACGTCCCGTGGGTCTGGGTTGTGGAGTTCCAGCTGGTGCATCAGTGGGACAAGTCTTTTCAACCTAAAGTGCTTGTCAGGTCGTGTAAGCTCTGGGGTTTAGTTCTGGTCCCCCTCATTCAGTCTTTGGGCAAGTCATATCTCCTTTCCCAAACTCAAGCTCAAACGCAGGCATTGAAGGCTTGGAAGAGACGATGCAGCTATGAAAGCCTAGGACAGAAGATACATCCTCCAAGGTCTGCAGACATCCCTAGCAAACCGAGAACTGGGGCGACACGGCTGCTGTGTAAAGCCAGTGAATCCTGGAGTGGTCTATTAAGCAGCAGCATTGTGACAAGAAAAAATATGACACAAAGTCAAACCCATGAGGACTGAACAGCTAACTACTTTGTTTTAAAGTTATTTAACAGCCAGGTGTGGTAGTGCACATCTGTAATCCCAGCACTCAGGAGACTGAGGTAGGAGGACTGGAGTTCAATGCCAGCCTAAGCTGCATAGCAAACCCTATCTCAAACAAAAGTTTTTCCCTTTGTGGTTATACAACTACCTATATACTTGTTCACTTATTTTATGTTTATATAAAAAAAGATTACTTTTTAAAATTTAACTTTGTTTTGTAATTATGTAATACATTTATAGGACTTCAAAGTAAAATCTATAAAGAAAGTCTTGCCTCTCTTTCCAGACTGTTTCATCCCTTCCCACAGGCATTTTTAGAGATCATGACTTCTCTTTTCTTTTTTAGGTGCTGGGAATTGAACTCAGAGCCTTGTGCACTCTAGGCAAACACTCTATCACTGAGCTACATCCCCGGCCTTCGGTATTTCTGAGACAGACTCTGGCTATGTAACTTGGGCTAGCCTAGAACTTGTGGTCCTCCTGCCTTAGACTCTTGAGTGCCGGGACCCTAGGTGTGCCCCACCACACCCGGCTTACCCTTTCATTTTTAAAAGTTAAATTAACTTTAACCATACATAAAAACATAAAATTGTTCATATTAACGGAGCAATATGTTTCACTAATACACGTGTAATGCATTGCACAATACATTGTGTGATGTTTAAATAAAGCTAAATATCTCTAACTCCTCAAACCCTTTCATCTTTGAAAATCTAATTAAAGATGTATTTCTGTTCCTCCTCTTTAGATGACCCATAGCTCACTATGCACTTCACCTTCTCTCTTATTTAGTATCATTTCCTATTGTTCCTACCTTGCCTCTGCTATACTTCATTACATGACTACACCATAGTTTCTGCAACTGACCTCCTTCCAGGGGACACTGGGCATTCCCATTCTTTGAATATTACAAACAGTGCTACAATGAACAGCCCCATGCTACTTCTTTTCATATTTTTCCTAGCGCATAAGATAAGTCCCTAGAAGTGGGACTGCTAGGTTAAAAGGAAATGCACTTACTGGGACAATTAGACATCCACAGGCAAAGCAATGTGGTTGGATCTTCACCTCACATCAGATGCAAAGATTCACTCAAAATGGATCCACTAACTAAACTTAAGAACTAAAGCTATAACACTCCTAGAAGAAAAATGGGAAAATCTAAATAAATTTGGACTTCTCAATTTTATTTTAAAATATGATACCAAAAGCACAAGTGATAAAAGAAAACTTTTAGCACCTCATATCCATTAGGATGACTACTATTTTAAAAAGAAGGAGGCTGGGTAAGGTGGCTCAGGCCTGCAATCCTAGCACTTGGGAGGCTGAGGAAGGAGGATCTCGATGCAGGCCAGCCTAGGCGGCATGGAGAAACCCTGTCTCAAACAAACAGAATGCTTTCATTCTGATGAAAATTCTTAGCTGTTCGGGGCAGTAAAATTGTCAGTGTGCTGCTACTTCTCCTCCAGAACATTACTACCTGGGTTGAGATGGATGACCATGAATTGAAGAAAAGGGACATTTGCCAAAAGAAATAGAAATAAAATATGCACAAGTTTACCTTTCCATTCGGCAACAAGCTTGGGATCTGAAATTACGAAGTTTGGACGGCTTCTTGAAAGAATACCTTTTCCAAAATAACCCTTCAGGGAAGAGAGAAAACAAAGTGACTTAGTGTTCAGTTATCATGTTTTACTCGAGTGAACAAGCAGTTCACCCACTTTTCACAGCTTTACATTTCCCTCTGATTCTCCAGTGAGCACATAGGATGACTCTAGCATTTTACGTCTCTGATCTTTTGAAGGGTAAACTCTCAGCACACCTCATGTTGTGTGGGTATGGCGAACTGGAGCCAGTAGACAGGGGCAGTTTCTTCTTTGCCTGTGGCTCAAGAACACAGGGCACTAAGAGCAGCATCCGTGCCCAATAGGTGCAAAATACTTCTTGGATTCTTCTGCACCCTGAAGTATTCCTCTCCGTCCCTTTGATTCCAAAAGCAACATGTACTTTACACTCTTTGACTATGGTTAAACACACAGAATGTACAGAATAACAAAATAAAAGCCCTTTGCCCCCCACAGAGGTTTAATGGTCAGAATAAACAATGCAGATGGCCCTTGAAAGCCTCTTGCTTTCTGTCATGTATTGTGAGTGAAGGCCTCCTTGGTGAGACTTTGTGGGGCCTGTTCTCACCTCTCCAGGGCCAACGCCACCCACTTTCCCAGAAAGTCTCCAGAGAAGGCACCCGAATAGAGACAGAAAGCCCGTCAATGGTTGCCTCCAGCTGGAAACAGGAGCAGAGATTAAGTGTGGGAGGTACAAGAAGCTCAGTGGGATGGGAAAATTTGACAACTGGATTGGTGTCTGGGAGTGTGGTTCAGTGTTAGAGAGCGAGGCCCTGGGTTCAATCTCCAGCATCAAAATGAATAAATAAATAAAAGTAAGAACTGGATTGTGCTGATGGTTGTGCCACAATCATGGCATTGTACCCTTACAATGGGTGGATTTACAAACATAAGTCATACCTCAACCAAGCTGTTTTTACAACATTCCCAGCAGTGAAAAGGGTATAGGTTAAAAAAAAAAAAAAAAGATAGCAAGCTGCATCCAGTTTCAACTCAAACCTGTCACTGTCGGAAAACAGAAAACACTAGAACTTGTCCTCATCTAAGAAGTCCCCATCCAGGCATGGACAAGGAGCCTCATCTTATCTGCCCTCAGGCTAGGAACTGAATGTAGGTGAGTGAGGCAATTTTCAGTTTTTACCATTACATTTCAGCAAATTACTTGGCTTTTTGTTTGCTTTTATAATTAAAAGACAAAAAAGGTCAACCAGCTGATCCTACTTCAGTGTTGAAATCTGGGTCCTGGTGGGGCCCATTACCTCACAATGTCCAGCTTAGGCACGTGATTGAAACTGCAATGGAGTACGGTTTCTGTCGTGTTCTGGGGGCTGAGGGGTGGATGGGACCGCAGAGGGAGAAATGACTTGCTGGCTCAGGTTGTCAGGAAGTGACCACACCAGGCCGCCGCACTTACTTTTCCATATAGCTGCTTGATGCCCTCTGCGTCCGTCACTAGCACGTTGTTGCTCATCATCTCAGCACGGAATATTCTGAATTCTTTCCCAGGACCTTGGTCCTGACCAAAAGGGATTGGCAGTGGAGACTCATAACTCTCGTACACTCTTCTTTTCCTCTTTGGGGCATGGAAGACAGCTTCTGCCATTCTTCAAGGCGGAAGAATGTTCTTCTCTTTAGAGAACAGACAACAGGAGAAAGAACTACAATAACTATACCAGTCAGTAACAACTTTAATCAATAACTACCAATCAAAAAGGCTTAGGAAACTTTGTGGTCTGTGGGAAAAAAGCAGACTGTCAAACAATTAACTGGAAGACGCTGAGGAACTGTACAAGCTGGGCAGGTCAGGCAGCAGGGGCATCTCAACCCTGAAACCCTCAAGAAGTCCGTGGTGTCATTTCTAATTAAAACTGACAACACTGAGGCCTAGCGACATGGCCAATCGCAGTGCCAGACCTCCTGGGACTTCTGCCTGTCCAGGTGACTTCCATGGCTTCTCTCAGCCAACATACACTTGCTGAGCACCAGGGCTCCTAATATTCAGAGGGACTGGGGGCATAAAGATAAAACAATTTTGTCCTCAACAAATTAAATCTAGTGAGAACTTCATTTTTCAAAAAAGGACCTTAAGATACATTTAGAACATTGGATCAATCAGCTCCCAATTTTAAAAGTAAATTAATAAATAACAGGGGTTGCTATTATTGAAGGGCCTATTATGTACCACCAAGTGCCCGTGGCAAAGCAGGCTCTCTGAAGGCACAACAGCAAGGTTGGAGTCCACTTCGTGTTCTGGCTTCAGCAACACGAGTATTGAAATTGGACTGACTCCTAGCTGTGTAATTTTGGGTAAACGTTACTGAAACTGTGCTTTCATATTCTCATCTGCAAGATAAGGATAAAAATATATTCTGTCTTACAGTTAAGGTACCACCAACAATCAGGTTCCCTAACCTGATTTGTAAAAGGCCCCATGGCTGCAGGTCTCCTGAATGTCAAAGCCTTGCCCTTCTCTGTGGGCTCTGTTCAAACCAAACACCAGGAGGGAGAGAAGGAAGCTAAAGTCAGTACCTCTCCCTTCTGGGCCTGGCACTGGACCCAAGAAGACGAAACATACAGAGAACACACAAGAAAGTGAGTCAGAGGTAACACAAGAAGCCACCTTCTACTAACAGCCAAGGGAAGAAAAGCTGAGTGCTGCATTACACACATTGAGACACAACAGCTGCACCAAACTCAGGAAAACACAACTGTGCAAGGGAAAAAGTTACCAGAGCACAGTCCGCTGAATGAGCAATGCCCGGGCAAGAGTGGGAGACTTGGCCCCACTGTGCCCTCAGGACAGGTGGTATTGATTTAAAAGGAGAGCCAGTGTGGAGCTGCGTCACACACAAGCTTGACTTGCACGACTCCAGGGCCTCCAGGCTCAAAATAGGACTGATAACATAGGTGCCTCAGCACTCAACGTCAGTATCCATCAGGCAACAGACTCAGTCATGCAAAAACAGTCAAGAAAGTGGCCAGAGCTAAGGGAGGATGTGAGTGGTTTCAAAAAAGAAATTAAAAGCCTTGCCCATGTGTGAGAGCAAGGAAGAGTTAGAGGAACTGATGAGTTACAAAGACACCCATGAGAAACGACAACCAGCAAGTTGGAACCTTCCGGGAATTGCCAAAGCGTTCCAAGCAGCAACATGCTGTTAACAATCTGCCTAATAATACCGACCTAATACTGAGGGACCTCAATAAATACATACGGAGCATTAGTTATGTTCCACTTAGGCACACATCACTGGATCGTGCTTATAACAACCACCGAAGGATGCTCTCCCAGAGGCACTGTAACTACTTTCACCTCACTTGACTGATCCCTCAACCCAGGCCAACTATCACATCTAGCACTCAACTGGAGGACAAGCAATTTATCCCCAAACTGAAAATAACACTGTTAGCTTTCTTGAGGCAGGATGTTGGTCTCTAGTAAGGCACCTTCTTAAAGGCTTCCAGGAACAACTGGACTTTTACCAATGTCACTTGTTTAACTTAACCTCTGATGAGTATGTGACTTGTATACATTACATTCACAATTTTTTAAAAGGAAAAAAAAAAAAAAACCCAGCTAGCTTCAAGAAGTTCCAAGAAATTCAACAAATGAAAACGAAAACTTGAATTTCAATTTGCCTGACGTTTATAGGGTTTTCCCTTTCAGATTGCTGTCATACTCTAAAAAAGGTAAGACTGAGCTATGTCCCTAGCCTATTGAATCTAAAATCTCTCACTGGGGTCCCAATGATTCCAATGTGTCATCAAGTTTGCAGATGGCTGCCCTAGGAAACTTCTTCCCTGTTCATCAATCACTAAGTACTTCACATATTTCAGTTATACCCAAGCACTGTGCCAGTTCCTGCATTCAGTAATATCAATGACTTGTAACTGGATGTTTCCGGAGTGTACAATGGCATTCTCTGTAGTGTCTTAAATATTTTTATTTTTCTTGTAGTGCTACTGGGTTTTGAACTCAGGTCCTCTGCTTACTTCCTTCAGTTGAGGCACTCCTCCAACCTTTTTTGTTTTAGTTATTTTTCAGATAGTTTCATGCTTTTGCCTGGGGCCAGCCTTAGACCACCATTTTCCAGATCTCTGGCACAAGTATTATTCTTATTCCTGTTGTACAGAGGAGGAAAGTGATTCAGGGGGCTGAATACACCAGCAAGGAATTGTTACTTTTCATTGCTCAAACCTGGACACGCCTGACACCACAGCTTAAAGAGAAAGTACACTTACTTTCCTATCAAAAGCAAGGCCTGGCCAGGCGTGGTGGTGCAGGCACTAGGGAGAACACAGCAGGAGGCCAGCCTGTGCTACTTAGGGAGGACCCATCTCAAACACCAAACCAAAACAAAAAACAAGGCCTCTTCTTTATTCTTCATTTGAATTGACAGTCCCACACCTTACAGGTGGTGCTCAATAAATGTCTAAGAACCAACAATAAAGGAGGGGGTGGCTCCACTTAATTTTCCAACTCTCTCAGCTCAGGTGGAATGCACCGCGCCCAGGGCTCACCACGTGCAAGTGCTCGCTGCACGTGCAATAAGCCTTTTGGTGCACTGGTCAAAAAGGTGTTTGGGGCTGCGAAATCTCACAACTGTCCTCAATTTATTCTTTGATTCTTTCCTAGACTGTTCACCACGCCCCCACCCCACCAGAAGCCGGGCTCCTCACGGGAGAACAGTGTCTGATACACTTGGGGCGTCCCCCAGACCCAATGGCGTTTCCGGGAAGGAAAAAGGGCCACAGATGTGCGGACAAAGGATCCAGGGTTTTTCGCCCAGGTTCCTCGTCCCCGTCCTCCCTATCCAGTCCAACCCTCCGGGTCCCCTCCGCTCCCCGCGCCCGGACAGGCCACCGCCCCGAACGCCTGGTGACACCGACAACTCCCGGCCTGGGAACCTTACCTTTCTCCGCCCCACGCGCGCGCCGTTACTCAGCAACGCCGGCCGGGGCGGGGTGTGTGTGTGGGGTTGATTCCACTGCCGTCAAGCAGGACTGCCGCAAAATAAATAAATAAATAAATAAAAGCCAAGCCGAATGCGCAGCCGCAGAGCAGTCTCCGCGCACTACGCATGCGCACGGCTGCAAACGGGAGTTCGTGCCCTGCGGAATTTAAGGCGGACGTGGGACGTTCTTTTTCTTACGGGTGCTGGGGTTCTACTGTCAGCTGTACGTGCACCGATGCTGTCCTAGTTAAATCCTCACAACAGTCTCCCATGACCCATTTTATAGAGGAAAAGCGAAGCTACCTATCCAGTGTTATGCAGTCACGTGGGTAGTGAGATCCCTAAAGAGGCGAGAGAGGCCAACGGGCTCCATCAATCAAATGGTCCTGGCCCTTCGGAGCCTGACCTCAGCTTCCTCAGTGTAACATGGGGTCTTAGTATTGCATGTGTATTACCTGCAGCCCGCAGGGATCTTGTAAGGTCGCTCCCTCCCGCAGACAGACCTGACCAAAGCCATTGTAAACGAGGCCTGGTGGGGAGGCCGGCTGAATCACAGGGGGTCCAGCACAGAAGGGGCAGGAGGGAAAGGGGTGATCATAAGGAGGCAAATGATGCTAGAAGAGATTTACGGGGCTTAGTGTAATGAGACTTTACATTTTGGACGTTCTCCAGCTTTCTCCTGCCTCCAGGCCTTTGTACGTGCTGTTGCCTCCGGAACATTCTCCCATCTGGTTGCTGCAGTCTTTTCTGGTTATCCTTTAGGTGTTCTCACCTCCCGGAGGAGACTTCTTTGACTGCTTCTCTCTGTTCTGCAGTAGTGTGGCACAACTGTGTTGGCCCAGTTTCCTGGCCCTTTTTAATGGACTGTGAGCTCTTGGTAGAACAAGATCACTAGGTGGGTTTAGTGGATGTTGGTTCTTGGATGGGCCTTGACTGCCAGGCTAGGAAATTCAGGTTTTAGAGAAATAAAAACCAGAAGAACTTCATGGTCAGAGTGGCAAAAATAAATAACAGGGAAAACAACGTCAAGATTCACAAAATAATGTCGTAGTCTGTTTTTCATTGCTAAAACAAAACACCTGAGACTGGAGAACTTTATAAAGAAAAAGATTATTTGGCTCACAGTTTTGGAGAGTCAAGGGCAAAGCAACAACATTGGCTTGGCTCAAGCAGATGATAAGAGTGCACATGAGAGGGAGCAACCACATCACCAGGAGGAAGCCAAACAGCAATTCAGAGCTCAGGCTCAGACAACCTACTGTCCCTAAGACGTGCACCATGAGACCAGCATTCCCTTCCAGGGCAGTGCCCCAACACATGTACCCTTAGCAGACTCACTCAGAGCACATCCAACCAGGCCAAGTGGAAAGAGGATGGCTTGGGCAGGGAGGAGCTGGCTGGAGAGAGACTGTAATGCTATTCTGGAATGTGCCAGGTTAGGAAATACAGGGTGAGTGTCCCTTATCCGAAAGTCTTGGGACAGAAGTATTTTTGGAATTCTGGATTTTGGAACGTCTGCATAGGCATAATGAAACATCTTGGGGATGGGATCCAAATGTAAACATGATGTTCATTTCTGCGTCATAGACACCTTGTACACGTGGCATTTAGGTTATCTCATACAGTATTCTTGGTACTGCTGCGTTTTGACTGTGACCCATCACCACTTGGGCTCAGGTGTGGAATTTTCCACTGGTGGTGTTATGTTGGTGCTGAAAAGTCTCAGATTTTGGAGCATTTTGGACTTTCAAATTAGAGATGTTCTACCTGTACTGGTTTGAGAATGAGAAATATTTTGTTTTTGTCTTTTAGGACAGGGTCTTACTATCCTGCCTCAGCCTCCCAAGTGCTGGGATTACAGGCAAGAGACGCCATGCCCAGCCTGAGTTAGAGTACTAACAATGCAAGGGAATTCAGAGGTTGTCCGGGTCAACTTTATTTAACTGAAAGCAGATGGAGATGTGCTGAGAGTTGCCAAAGGTAAGAGAGCAAGTGGGGCGGGGGGGGGACTGAGACTGGAGCCTAGGTCTCCCAATAAATTCCAGCCTAGTGCTCTGCACTGTAGGCCTAGGATTCCCTGATAGAGTGAGGGGACATCAGGGGACGTCATCCAGAGCCATGTGCTCACAGCGCGTCCAGAGTGAAAGAGACTGAATGTGCGATTCTTCCTGCAGATTTCCCCTTAATGCACAGTGCACGATGTTCTTAACATTTTCTACATGAGAGCAGAGAGAAGGCTGTAACCAGTCCTTATGTCTGGGGCTGGGGGTGAGGCTGGGTGGTATAGCATGTGCTTAACACATGGAGGCCAGCACTGTCAAAAGAAAATTCACTTCTGAAACATCTGACTTTTGGTCTCCTGTTTCTTTAATACTCTGCATATACAAACTTGGATTTCCCTGCTGGAGTATTTTAAATAATCCCCTAGCTAGGTGTGTCCCTGTCATCCCAGTCACTGAGGCTGAGGAAGGAGAATCACTTGAACACAGGAGTTCAAGGCCAGCCTGGGTAGCATAGTGAGGGCTGTTTATTTGGTTTTTTTTGAGACAAGGTCTCACTATGTAGCCCAGGCTGACCTTGAACTCGCTACCTTCCTGCCTCAGCCTCCTGAGTGCTGGGATTAAAGCAGGTATATACCATCACGCCCAGCGAGACCCTCATCTCAAAAAAATTCCAAATATGTAAAATTCCACCCACGATATTTCAGTATGTATCTCCAACAGACATGTTGCTGCAACCACTGAATTTGGGAATCTTTTTTTTTTTTTTTTTCTTTGATGGTGGTACTGGGGATTGAACTCAGGGATTTGTGCTTGCTAGGTAGGCACTTGATTAGTGAATCCTGAACCACTGCTCCCAGAGGAAACACAGGGCGAGGTTCCTGTGAGCCTCAGATCATGGCATTTTCATCACCTGATCAATATATAACTTTGTTGTATGTGCATTTCTATTTAAAGACACCTTATATAATATCAATTGTTGATTCATTAACATTAAATTCAGCACACACAGCCCTGTAACTCACACCTGCCCAGAGCTTATCTAAGGCCTGGATTTCCTCCACTAAGGCCCACCTCCTGGCTGGGGAACTGCTCAGCATGTCAGCACTTTGCTGGAGGGGGGTGGGGGGGTTGAAACAGTTAAGTCACCAACAGAAAGCCTAAAATATGCAAAACCCGAGGCATTAACCAGAGCCCAGAAAGCACACTTCATTTACAGTGTGAGTCTGATGCGCTTCTTCAGCCTTAGCTGGGAATGTGTACATGGGTGACTCCACTTTTTTGCTTCCCAGTGCGTGCACACGTCTGCAGGGACTGCAAAGAGGAGGTCTTGATTTACAGTTTACAAGTAAATTTTAGCGATTAGGTTAATTTGCAAATCCAGAATCAGAAGAGGGAGGACAGTCTGCACCAATAGGTCCCCAACATCTTCAGTACATCTTGTCAGATGTAAATTTGTAATGGTCTTGAACACTGATTATCTGTGAAACATCACACAGAAACCCACGTAGGACTTGGGTAAACTTTTACCAAAAAGAAAGTTGTTTCTTTGAATTTCAAGTTCACTTGGGCGTCCTGTATTTTATCTAGCTACCCTACTATCATTTATATGTGCCAGCGGTGTGCATTATCTGGTTCCCACACTGGGCCTGTAAGCTGGTGTCACTGCTCTCTGCCCATGGCGACAATGATAGGTAATAGTGTAGACCAGATGAGGGACCCCATCCTGAGTCTGTGGGGCTGGGAAAACACAGGGTTGAAGGGCCTGGGGGGCTTTCTGGAAGAGGTGGCTCAGCAGTGACACCTGGAAAGGTGTTCTTATGGGGTGGAGGAGTTGGAGGTGGAGGGCACAGGGTTTCGGTCACTGGCAGGCCCACGTGCTGGCTGGAATGGGCTTTGGGGTTCTGGAGCCAGGGAGGAGCTGGGCCCGACGAGGGCAGGAGGTCCAAGCCCTGATAAGGTCCGATAGGCAGGGCGGGGCCGATTGTGGATTCCAGGCTGGGCTCCTGGACTTTACCCCGCAGACAATGGGGAGCCGCCAGCATTTCTGAGCAGGGCCGGGCAGCCCCAGTGTCCCGCCCGATTTTCCGGGCTGGCCCGAGCCCTGCAGGATCCCTGCTCGACCACTAGATGGCGGCATTTCAGCAAATTTAAACCTTGGACACGGCTTCCCCAGATGACCGTCAAGTCGGGGCCCACGAAGCCAACACGTACTCACCCCAGCATCCTCGGCCCCCCAGCGGAGGCTCATCCAGCCCACGGGACTTGTTAGCACCCCGCTTTGCAGGCCCGGGACTGAGGTCGAGGGGTGCGTGTGCTCCACGATGGACCCAGGCTAGGCAGTGGGGTGGGGAGTGGGCTGGGCAGGACCCCAGGGTACCAGCCTGCTGGGCAAGGTCCCTATGTGTAAGAACCGCATTGTATTTGTAGCCCACCGTGGCTGCCCGCAAACCCTGCAGGGTGGATGGTGACAGCTGCCTGGACTCTGCCCTTTGGCTCATTTTAGGTGGTTTTTTAAGAGAGACTCTGAATTCTCTCTGATAACCACGTTCCGGACTTAGGGGCTATCACACATTTTACAGGCGAGAAAACACTCAGAGAAGTGAAATGGCTTTGCTCCAGGCCTCAAGATCACACCAGAGGAGGAGCTGGATTCCAGGAACGCCACTCCTGCCCTGGGTCTTCCCGTCATGGTCAAGTTTACCCAGCTTCTGGGCCAATTTAATAGGGAAACGTGGGCATGTATACATACCCGAAGAGACATGATGGTTTGTAACATGGGGGGGAGGGAGAAGGAAAGAGAGAAGGAAAGAGAGCAAGAGAAACAACCCAAATGTCCCTCCCTATAGGAACAGATTGGACACATAAAATATGGTATAAAGCATTTCATACACTGGAGTACTATGCAGCAGTTAAAAAGGAATGAGCTGGCCATTTTAATTGTGTGTGTATCAACATGGATACATTTCAGAAACATGGTGATAAAGGCAAGATGCAGAACAACATGAATCATGATACCATTTATGAAAATTAGACAGG